AGTCTGACCAACAATATTCTTCCTCAGAAGATGCAGAGGAAAGCCCCCAGGGACAGAGTCATGCCAACAGCCCTCCAGGGATTCCAATGCTGCCTGGGAGTTGGTTGTGCCCTGTCTGTGGACAGTGAGAGGTAAAGCAGCTTAGGCAGAAGCCAAGAAAACAAAAAGAACTCAGTAGGGTGAGTGGGTGGAGCTGAGGCACCTCTGAGATGAGAAAATAAAGGCCAACTGGGTAGTTTATTGAGATAATGATGGGATGGATCTAGAATTTGTACAGTTGGAGGCGGAGAGAGATTGGAGAAGCCTTCTGGAGAAAGAGCATTAACTATAAAAATCAAACAGGTACAAAGATGTAATTTATGTAGGAAGAGTCAATGCAGATGGGAGTCTGAGCTAAGCTCTGTGACTCCACAGTGACAGCCTGGCCATGGCAGCCTGCACAGCTCCCCAGGGTGCACTCTTAGACTGACATATCTGATTCACAGCCCACCTCAGATCTGTCCAAGGAATCCATCCAAGGTCCATTTCAGGAATGTAACAGGGGCTTGTTACATAGTGTTGTGTTGGTGTTTTTGCCACACAAGAGATGAAGGCTTTGTTACTAAAATTCAGAGTCACACTCTTTTCAGGTGGATTCTGAGGGTAGACATGGAAGGAGGCATCAGTGCCAATGGCAATGATGGTTCTCAATTCCTCACTGCTTAAGTGAGAAACAGCTGTATAATGGAATAAAGAGCAAAACCCAACAGGAATAGGCATTGGCTGGCAATGCTGGTTGCCTATGTTCTCTGGCTAAGAGCAGGTTAAAAGCTGTATGATAATGTTTTTGTAAGAGTTACTCCCTTTAAGAATATATGTATGCCTTTACCCCAGCACTTGGGAGACAGGCAGGTGGATCTGAATACAAGGTCAGCCTGGTCTACAGAGTGAGTTCCAGGACAGCCAGAGCTACACAGAGAAATCCTGTCTTGAAAATCCAACTAAAGAATATGACAAAAGAAAAAAAATATATGTATTATGTACTTTTGTATACATTTGTGAAAATGCCTGGGTGCATAACATGTTGGATCTCCGTAAGTGGCATGAGTGATTTTCACGTATTTCTTCACACATTTCATTTGAATAAACAGCTATTTAGATTGGTTCACGGTGGCACATGACTGCAGTGTCAGCAGCTGGAACTCAGAGGCAGGAGGACTATGAGTTTGAGATCAGCTTGGGAAACTTTTGAAACCAAAATGATCTACAAAAGGAACCTGCCTGAATTTCCCTCATGGTACTGGTACTGAACATAGGGCGATGTATATGCCATGCAAGTGCTCAACACTGAGTTATAGCTCTGGTCCTCTTTTAATTATTTGAGACACAGTCTTTGTTGAGTTGCTCAGGTTGGCCACAAATTTGCCCGCTTCCTGCCTCAGCCTCCTGGTCCAGCTCTGAATTTTTAAAGGGATACTTATTGTTTGAATAATAGCAAAAAGAGATAGCACTCTTATTAAAAAACAAACAAACAAACAAAACAAACAAACAAACAAACAAAAAACCAGTTCCCACTTACTACCCGAGTTGAGGCAGGGTAGAGGAGAAGGGAGTGAGAAGGAGAGCCAGCTAGAGCACATGACCTAGAACAAGCTCTGTAGCTGCTGTGGGTCTATGCTTCCTCATCCAAGAAACATCAATAAGGACCCTTCTCAGGCCTCACAACATCAGTGACATTGTTGAATTGGTTAACAAGGTTGAGTGCTTAGACAGTGCCTGCCTCTAAAATGCATTCGATAAACACAAGCTGTTGTGTTCACCTGCCATGCTGGGGACGGGACCCAGGCTGTCCCACACAGCCAGTCGGCATGTTATAATTACTGTCTAGCAAAACTGATGTACTAAAGTTAATTAAAGGGAAGCTGCCACTAGAAGCATGGAGAAGACTGCTAGGGTCACTTGAGAGCGGGTCACCCAAGCTCTTTACTTTGGTTCTCCTTGTTGCCAGCCCCCGAGTTAGCAGGAGAAAGATGAGCAGGCTCCTTCCTCCTTTTCTTTCCGAGCACAGGGTTAGTTAGCTCTGAATTCTCCAGAAGTTCTGGGTAAAAGCTCAGTGCGATAAAAGCAGTCTTGATTTCAGTCACATGGGCATTGCACAGAATGTCTCTGCAGGAAGAGCTCACAAAATTATAGGGGCCAAGAACTATAGTAAAAACAAAACAAACAAATCCCTGACAATCTGATGGCTCATAGAAAACTGTCAGTATTAAAAAGACACTTGAGTACCCAGCAATGTGGAATTGTTTCAACAAATCAAAATATATCTAAATGGTATATCTCAACAATGATGTCTTGGAAAAATTTTAATTACATAGGAAAAAAAAAAAAAACCCTTAAGGATTGAATCTAAACAAGAAACCCACAGATAACAAGCTTCAAGTTCAATATTTGAAGAGAGCATCCTTAATGCAGAAGTTTATTATATTTTCTTCTGTAAGTAAGCCTCTTTTCCTTACAGAAGGCAGGAAACAGAGACCTGCCTATAGACTCACAATGTAAGAACAACCAACTGCGATGGAACCCATACCAGTTCTCTGGGAAGCTGGCTCTCACATGACAGTTCTTTCTCCTCCTGCCCTTCTTATTCCTAAGACTTTTCTCTGACATTGCTCCCTTCTTATTCCTAAGGTGTTCCTCTGACATTGCTCCCCTCCACTCCATGCTGATAACCCAAACTTAAGTGAGAGAACACCCAGAAAATGTTTCCTTGATGTATGGTGCAAGGAGAAATACAGAAGAACAAAGGAAATAATTTTTGGGGGGTACTTTTGAGACAAGGTTTCTCTGTTTAACAGTTCTGGCTGTCCTGGAACTCGCTCTGAAGACGAGGCTGGCCTACAACTCAAAGAGATCAGCCTGCCTCCCAAGTGCTGGGATTAAAGGCGTGCACCAAAAACAATGCTCTTATACAATTAGAATCCTGGGTGGGTGGTGGGGGGGGGGGAGAAAAGAAAAACAGCCAGGGAGCACAGACTCTGGGAAGTCAAAGGCTTTGTGGAAACTGAAAAGGTATTAAGTGTTCTTTTGAGACTTCATGGATACAGACTTAGACTTTTAAAATAGAGAGACTGAGGTTTTTCAACGGTAGAGTATGAACTATTAAGGAAAAGCTGTAATGACAGAGATGTCTAAGTGATAGTGGGCTTCACAGTTACACCAAGGCCAGTGATAAAGGCACAGAGCTGTTGCTGTGGGTGATAAGAGACAAACACGGAAGAGTTTGAGTGAGCCACCCAGGGATGAGAATTAACTGCAGATAAAAAAAATTATTTATTTGTTAAAAAGACTTCTCTAATCCCTTAGCGTTCCTGACAAAATGCTTTGTTCCTATGATGTTTAGCTATTCTTCCTGATGGAAAGTCAATTGCATCCTTCCAATGACAACCAGGCTTGCCAAATACCGGTCAAATCCCCTTTAGGATACATCCTCAGAAGAACCATTCCTTTTCACCATAAAAAGGTAGCTTTATTGTTTTCAAAGTACAATGAATATGAAAATAGCTTCAGGTTTGTGCAAGAAATAAATAAAAGCTACTTAATATAACGCACATATTTTGATGCAGAGGAATGAAAAGACTGAGCAGTATCTGGGAAAGGAAGAGTAGTTTCAATGATGTTACTCTAGTCATTTAAATTCAGTAAAGTTCTTTGTGAAAATGAGTCCAAAGATGTCAGCTAGATTTTTAAGAAGGGTCCTGCTACTATAGAGACTCTAATAAGGTAAAGAGGACAAGAGAAGACACAAGGGCCACGGGAGACAGGGAGCAGATGTAAAAGGGACTCAGAGACAAAGAGTGAACAGCAACTACATTGACTCAAGCCAGTTCAGTGAGATGGGATTAAATTAGTGGTGAACTGAAAGTATTGTAAGGAAAGCTAAGAGGCTGCTTTTGAAGAAGCTCTTCATGGAAGTCAGGCACCAGGGCTGGAGGCTGCAGAAATAGGAGTTTGGGCTCATGGCAGACTGTAGGGACTCACAACTGAGATGCATGCTTGTTTAGTACATACAACCATGGTTCTACATGAGGGGCTCCAGCAATGAATTCAATTCCAAAATATGCTTCATTTAAATACACACCTTTTTTTGATTCTTATTAAATACATAATTACAACTATAATCATTTGAACTTCTACTTACAGCAGTCACGCTAGGAACTGAACCTAGGACCTGTGCACGCTAAGAAAGTACGCTATCATGAGATACAGCGTCAGCTCTTCAACTCTGCTTTAAATACTATACTGTTTTTCATTTTATCATTATTTTCTAGGGGAAACAACTATCATTTAAATAGTAAAAATGCAATGATTTCAATGCAAATATCTAAAATGTATATACATCATTCTCAGATTTTAGTATGCTAAGTAAAGTTAGCTGTGCATTGACTTCTTGATATTTCTCATTTTCTTGTTTTGAAAACTGGCTTACACAGTGTAGATGGGTTTTGGTAGCTTCTCCTCCCATCAACTCTCCCACCCCTGCCACCCTTGGTCCTCTCTTGTGCCCCATCCCATCTCTTTTCTCTTTCATGTTCAACATGTCTGATGCACACCCATCCTTCCTCGATTTTTACCCTCTCTTGGTCTCCTTTCTAGGTTTTATACTGTTCACGTTTGCATACACACACACACACACATACACACACACACACACACGCACGCACGCACGCACGCACACACACACACACACACACACACACACACACACACACACACACACACACACACGCTGGGATATACCTATGAAAGAGAACATGTGGTTTTTGTCTTACACAGTTTGAGTTGCCTCACTTAATATTATACTTTCCAAATCCATTCATTTTCCAGAAAATCTCATTTTTTGTTACTGTTGAGTTAAATTCCAGATCTACTCTGATGCAAGCTCCTAGCCCTGTGCAATTCAGTTACAGCAGGCTGACATTTTGAAAATTATCAGACAGTAATTTTCGGTCCATATGAGATACCTGTTCCCTCATTTCTTTCATTTTTTCCAATCTCTTGAGTTTTGTGGCATATTCTTGAACTTCTTTTAATCCAATATCTGTGCAGAGACGAACCAAGAAACGCAAACCTAAATTAAAAAAAAACAAAAACACAACACAACAAAAAAATATTTAGGAAAGGAAAGAAGCACAGAACAGTTTCTCCTCAGTGCTTACCAGTCTCCTCTACCTATCACAGTGACAATGTCAAAGGAGTCTGGATAGCTCAACCACATCACAAGACCCAAGGACACCTGACCCACACTGTCATCACTCCCCAACTCTTCCTCCTATCGTCCCTCTACATAAATACTTACATCATGCTTCTCTTTCATCTATTTTCACAATTACTCATTTTGACTGTTAAATATCATGTGTTTGAATATGTACATGTATACATGTTCACATGTGTGTATGGGTTTGCATGCATTTATGTGGATACTAGGTGTGATGTATGCATGTGTACATGTTCACATGTGTATGGTTGTGCATACATTTGTGTGGGTACCAGGTGTGATGTATGATTGTGTACATAATCACACGTGTATGGGTGTGCATGCATTTATGTGGATACTAGGTGTGATGTATGCACGTGTACATGTTCTCATGTGTGTGGCTGTGCATGCATTTGTGTGGCTACCAGGTGTGATGTATGCATGTGTACATGTTCACACGTGTATGGCTGTGCATGTATTTATGTGAGTGCCAGGTGTCTTCCTCAATTGCCCTCCCCCTTATTTTTTGAGACAGGGTCTCTTAGTGGACCCAGAGCTTGTTGATATGGCTAGATTGGCTGGTCAGCAAGCTCAGAGATCCTCCTGCGTCTGTTGTACCAGCACTAGGATTACAATTTTGTGCCACCATATTAGGCCTTTTGCATGGGTGGTTGGGATCCAAACTCAGGTTCTTATGTTTGTATGCAAAGCATTTTACTGAGCTACTTCCATATCTCTGACTCTGTTAAATATATTTTTTAAATTATTATTATTATTTTATGTATATGGGTGTTTTCCCTGCCATGTTTGTCTACATATCACGGGCATAACTGGTTCCCAAAGAGGCTAGGAGAAAGCATCTGATTCCTTGGATAGTTGTGAGCCACCGTGTGGATGCTAGAAAGAGCAGCCACTCTACTCACACTAAGCCATCTCCCAAGCCACTCTGTCAAATATCTTTTAAGTATATCTCATTTTTCCTGGCAGCCTCATCACATTCTGTCTAGAGTCCAGTGGGGACGTGGAACCCCGTGACTGCACACACTCTTGGCCATACTCCTGCTTTTAGCTCTGGCCAGCAGCCTCCCTCCTGATGCCTCTGGTCTTGGGATCTACTTTGGGTCAGTTTCATTAACAGCTTTGCTTCTGTTAGCTGCTCTGCTACCTGTGCCCCCTCCCCAGTGTTTGTCTAAAATGGTAAGTAGAAAAGTTTTAAATACTTTTTAAAGGAAGTTATACTTTTGTCCTTGTAGGGTCATGATTTTTAGACAGCAATTTTTTTTGGTCTCTGTGTAAGAAAACATATTTTACACACACACACACACACACACACACACACTTTCAGAATAGTTTTATTTGAAATAGAGTGTGTCCCTACATTCCTGTTCTTTTTGATGCTGCTCTACTGGATACCTGGTTTCATCTTCCCTGCCTGGCAAAGCTGTGCTACCTCCCTCATGGGCCACATTCAGTGTCATTTACTCTGGCAAATGCCTCCTGATCCTGGAAGACTTAAGTTCTGTACTTTCATGGCACTTGGAACCTTAAAAACAATACCATCTATTATAGTGTAGCAGTGAATTGATTACTAGAGTCTCAGAAATAAATACTTAACATAAACTGTGTGTCTCCAACACAGGAAATAGTTGATAAAGTTCTGCAAACGTATAACAATTAGCAATTAGCATTAAGCTAATACCCAATTAAAAATTATTTGTAATACATATTCTAATAGAAGAAAACAAGCATTCATTGAGTTAAGTTTGTATGTTAGTGATTCCCAACGTCCTTGTGCACAATGAACACAGCCTCTTAAACACCTAAGAGGAAGACATCACAAGCAAGTGGGCTCAATCCTTCTGGATGGCTCCCCTTAGATCTGTGGGACCATCCCACATGTAATGTCTAAACTCCCATAGATTCTGTGTATATTCAGAATCACTGTTAACTTTCTTTCCAGTAGCACTCAAGTGCATGCTTGCATGATAACTGGCATAGACATTGCCTGCCTCTGTTACTCTCAAAGTAAGCTTTGAGAAATATTTATTGGTGTGTATGTGCCATGTTGGCTCACTCCTTCTGTCTTTATGTGGATTCTGAACAGTGAACTCATTTCAACAGGCTGTGTGGCAACTGCTTTACCCATTGAGCCATGCTGCTGGTGGATTTCAGTTACAGAAGTGTGATATATCTTATTCTGGTAATGTTCTGAAAACACATGTCAAACCTTGTTCTTCTGCTTAAAATTCTCCAGTGGCTTAGCCTCATCTCTGTGAAGCCCTGCTCCAAGGTCGTGAGGCTGTGCTGTGGGACTTTTTGGCCCCTTGGCCTCCAGGTCTCACATCACATGGTCACCCGTGCCTGACCTACAAGACTCCGTGTCTTCATCACTCACTTTCCTCTATTCTTCCAGGTACCTGTCTAAATGCTACCTCACAGGCCACCCAGGACTGATGACCTAAGACACCAATCCCTCCATGCTCTCAACATCAAACTTGCTACTAACTTTCTTTTCCTTGTAGGGTAACAGATCCACAACACCAAGGCTTTTGGTCTATGCTACATAAGGTGTTGAATGGTGTTTGGAACAGTCATCATTCATAAGAACCTGTATAAAGGGGCTGGAGGGATGGCTCAGTGGTTAAGAGCCCTGGCTACTTTTCCAGAGGACCCAGGTTCAATTCCTAGCACCACACGGCAGCTAACAACTGTCTGTAACTCCAGTGGCAAGTGGCAGGGGGTCTGACACACTCCCACCAATGCACATAAAAATGACAACAACAACAACAATAACAAAAATTAGCCAGGCAGTGGTAGTGCACACCTCTAGTCCCACAGCACTCAGGAGGCAGAGGCAGGTGGATCTCTGTGAGTTTGAGGCCAGCCTGGTCTACAGAGCGAGTTCCAGGACAGGCTCCAAAGCCACAGAAAAACCCTGTCTCAGAAAAACAAAAATAACAACAACAAAATTACATGGATTATTAAAAAATGAGACCGGTATAAATAGAGCCGGTTTTTAATTTGAAGTTTTCTTGTGTGTGGATTTTCGCCTGCATATGTGTCTCTGCACCACATGCGTGCAGCTCCCTCAGAATCTTGATGCTTCTCTGCTTCAGATAACATTCCACAATTTTCCTCTTTATGGCTCCAGTTATTGTAGTCAATTGATTATACTTGTTTTGAAAATTATATAGGTCAAAGTCATCTTAGATATTCCTTACAGTATATACAATCATTCACTTAATTTTTTAGGGTAACTCTTAAAATACTCCATAAAGGAAAATGTGGCCTTGCTGGCCCTGGGCCAAGGCATTGTGGCTACTCCAGTGGTTTTCATCAGGAAGCAATTTCACCCTTTAAGGGACATTTTGCCAACCCTGGAGACTTCTGGTTTCAACAAATGGGCTGGGAGTACCACGAACACCTAGTAGGTGGAGGCTGAGGATGCTCCTGCAAACCTGAGGGATGGCCCATGTTCCTGGAACACCTACTGGGCGCACAAAGGTCCTTGCACCCACAAATCACTAGGGAGTCTAGGAATGCTAAACACACAGGGAGGGACCTCTTCTCAGTGGTCCCATTTTCCTGCCCAGGAGGCTGGCAGTGGATTTGTTAATGACCTGGCGACCTTTTTGCTAACTGGAGAAAGCGGGTGTGGCAGACCTCACCCACCTTTTGCTATAGAGACTGACTTCACCCAAATTCCCCAGGACGATTATCCTAGACCGTTATGTAGTCACATCTCAAGCTTTCTTGTGCACCTGGAATTGGACCGACTGCTGCCTGGAAGCCTTCTCCCACACTGTACTGGCTTAGATATGCTGACACTGAATGGCCCGGCATTAGACCCCAGAGTCCCTGCACCAGGCTTTCAGTCTCATCTTTCTTGAGGTTTGCTTCTCTGTCTGAACCCGCAGGGACCCCTCAATCAACAACTCAGGTGCCAGGCCGGCAGGTCCCACTTTCATACAACCATCTGTGGACCTCTGGCTCCTGAATGGTCTAATGAGACTGTGACTGAGGCTCACACAGAAAGTTTCTTTTTAAAAAGAAACAGGGAAAATGGATGCCTAGGTCCACTGCAAACCTAAACGGTCTCTGAGGGAAGAGCTGAAAGTCTATACCTTTTAGGAGTTCTACAAGCGATGGCCCCATAGGCCATTTCCTCACAGGTGTCTAGCTCCTGTGGCTGTGAGGCGGCGAACCCACTTCCTGGTCCAGTACCTTGTCTCAGTCCTCAGCAGCAAGACTCACGTGAGCCAGGCGGAGGGAGACTCCACCTACTCCTTGGGTCAGGCTGCATTATCAGAACCCTGGGCTCAGGAGAGAGGTGTGTTTACTGTAATGTGCTGCACGCGTTTAGTGTTTGTGAGAACAAAGTGAAAAAGACTTTTCAAAGACGTTCTTTTCACTGCAGTGCTGTCCTCAACACCGCCCACACCTCTCTCTCAGTGACTACCTTCACCACGAATGAGGAGATTCTGCTCAAGGGGTCGCTTTTTGTTTCTTAACTAAACTGGTAGAAATTCTAAATTGACTATGGCTTTCTTCTTTTCTTCTTGGTTTTTTGAGACAGGGTTTCTCTGTATAGCCTGGGCTGTCCTGAAACTCGCTCTGTAGAACAGATTGGCTTTGAACTCAGAGACCTGTTTGTCTCTGCCTCCTGAGTGCTGGGATTAAAGGTGTCAGCTACTACCTACCATCCAGCTGACTTTCCTCTTTGACAACAATGCAACTCAGGACAAAACTAACAGTTTAGTGGCAATATGCAGTGAATGAAGGTAGCTATTTTCTGTTTTTCTTAGACAAGATTTTGCAGTTCCTGCTGTAATACCTTTCCTTATCACTATGAAAGGGTTCAAATCCACACAGCAACAAGAGAGGCCATACATGGATGCTACTGCAAAGTTCATTTCACAGCTTTGCAGAAGCTGTGTAAGCAAGTAATATATTAAGACAACATTCTAAAATTAGGGGTGGGAGAGATGGTCGGTCAGTAAGTGGTTTTTCTGGAGCTGACTGGTAACCAGTCTAGTCAAACAGGAAAGCTCTAACAGTGAGAGACCCCATCTCAAAAAATAGGGTAGAGAGCAACCAAGAAAGATGCCGGTTATTGAACTCTAGGACTCACATGTGACCACACACACAAATACAGTAAAGTACCACTAAAACCACCTGCAAGATTATTCATGGTTTCTTGTCAAAAATAGTAAAAGTATCATTTTTTTCAACCTCAAAACATTATACACTAAAATGAACAGTTAAAAAATGCTTTTGCCAGTCGGGTGGTGGTGGTACACAGCTTTAATCCCAGCACTCAGGAGGCAGAGGCAGGCGAATCTGTGAGTTCAAGGCCAGCTGATCTACTGAGCGAGTTCCAGGACAGGCTCCATAGCTACAGAGAAAATGTCTCAAACAAATAAACAAACAAACAAAAAATACCTTTCCCCAGGACTGAAGAAATGGCCTAGTGGTTAGAAGCACTTGCTACTCCTGCAGAAGACTTGGGTTTAGTTCCTAGCACCTACATAAGGCAGCTCCCAACTACTTGTAACTCCAGTTCCAGGAACCTGACACCCTCTGGCCTTTGTGGTCCCTTACACACATGTGGTGCATAAGAATTCACACGGGCACACACACATATACATTAAAGGAACCTTCAAAAACAAGCTGGTCTTTGTGTCTTTTACATCATGTATCCCGATCCCACCCATCTCCTGTCCCCTTGCATCTGCCTTCTGTCCCTGCAAACTCCCCCACCAAAAATAAAACTTAATTTAAGACAAATAAGGAAATAGGGGGGAAAAAGGAAGAAAGGGAAAATGTTGTCATGGAAGCTGCAGTGTGGCACAGTGAGTCATACAGTAAACCCCTTTACCCACACATTTTTACATGCAGGCATTCGTAGCAAACAATCACTGGTCTTGTTCAAGTCCTCTCTCTGGTCTCCACTACACCACTGACATTGGGCACTTACTGGAACTAATCCTGGACATCCTGTTGCTGCCCTGTCTTGCAAAAATGCTCTAGCCCTGGGTCCTCACAACCTGTGCTCCAGCAGATCATAGATGGGGTGGATATTGGGGTGGGTCAACACCGTGGTTCTGGGCCTGGGAAGTTGCTGGGATGGTCAACGCACCAGCTCTTCCCTGTCTTCTACCAGGGTGCTCTCCAGCATTGTCCTGGCCAGTTCACCCCTTGCAGCTATAAATAAGGGATGGGGCCAGTTCTCTTGATTTCACATCCTCAGGATTGGTTCTCCCCAGTCCATGCTGTCACATGACAGGCGAGCAATGGGGACAGCTCTCCCACCTGCCTCAGGCATCAATGGAGACACCCTCCCCATCCATGCCAGAGGTGCATGTCTTTAATCCTAGCACTCAGGAGGCAGAGACAGGCAAATCTCTGAGTTCTGATGCCAGCCTGGTCTACAAACAGAGTTCAAGGACAACCAGGGCTACATAGAGAAACCCTGTCTTACAAAGCAAAACCTTAAAGAGTTAAAAAGGGCTCCTCTTGGGCTGGCAAGATGGCTTATCAGGTAAAGGCAGTTTCCATGCAAACCTTGTAAGTTCAATCCTCCAAACCCATGTAAAAGTGGACAGAGAGAACCCACTCCACAAAGTTGTCCTCTGGTCTACACAGACACACTGTGGCACACGTGTACCTACCCACACCCATATATATACACACTCCAGTAAAAATCCTATAAATGCTTTCCCTATAAAACATCACTGTTTATATAAACTCACATAATTGCAGATAACCTTGACTCTGAACCTCTAGCCCTCTGGCCTTCACCTCCCCAGCTCTAAGCCCACATAAGGCTTTAGTTGGTGTGGGTATCAAAGCAGGACTCTGTTCACGCTAGGCAAGCACTCTACCAACAGAGTTACAGCTGTTCATGAAAGCCTGCATTACACATTTGCTTAATGATAAACAGAATGTGGTTTTATAGTTAAACCTTTTAACAATTAAGTTCTACAAAAACTTACACAGAGTCAAATTTTCTGATTGCATAAAAACTTTTAAAGAAATGTACCACAATTGAGGCTTCCTTTATGCATACTATTACTGCAGCAAACTTAACTATCAGACCATAGACTGTGCTATCCTTGCTTTCAAAGTTACAAAATATAAGGTCACTTACATTCAACATTCTCTGGAAATTTCCTGTGAATCTCTTTGTAAGTATCTAATGCCTTTTGGTAATTACCTGTAAGTAAAGAGAGAGGAAAATGTACTAATAGCTAGCTGTATCAAGTTATAGAAGTCTTACTAAATTTAATAAAAATGTTGATTCTAAGCCAAAGCATTGGCATTCTTTATTGGTTTAGTAAAAAGCTTTCATGTTTGCACAAGCAAATGTATATCATTCTTGAGTAATTTCTGGGAGAAAAATATACATCTAATGCGGGTGTAGTGTTTTAGACCTGTAATCATCTCAGCAGAGGTAGGGGGACTGTTGTCAGGTAGAGGCCGGCCTGACTACACAGTGAGTTTCAGGCCAGCCATGGTTACACAGTAAGACTGTGTTTCAAAAAATAAAAACTATAAAAACAAAACAAAACAAAAAACCCAAATAATAAATGAATAAACAAAATGGGAAAAAAATGTTACAGTGGAAGGAAATGGCTGAAATTTAGTCTTCACTTCTCAACAGAAATAGTTCAGTGGCTAGCTAGTGAGTGTTAAGATCCATTCCGAGCTCAGGGTGTGACTCAGTGGCCCTGTCCTGTGCAAAGGAATGTGTAGCTCACAGTCAAACTGTCTGTCCATCTGACAGAAGCCAGGGCAGTGCAACAAGCGAGCCCTCCAGCTTGCCACGGATGTCCTGGCCATTCTGAAGACCTCCCACTCCAGCAGGGGAGCACTGACAACCTCAGTTTGTGCTCCCAGTGGGGTCAGTTTTGCTCATTTTACAGTCTATGGGAGGTTTACAAACTTCTTAACCCAGGCCTTCTAGTTGCCTCTCTGGCATTTAAGCTATAGGCATCTCCTTAGGACAGAAGTGCAAACCTCTATGCCTAGTGATCTTTGCTGTACATAACACACAGTTCCCGCTGTCCCAGTTCTGAATTAAGAATCATTCAGGCAGAAAATGGAAATAGAAATTAATATAAAAACGTTTTGTGATTAACATGTAATGATTTCACGTTAACTTTGAGAAACAACCACTTTTTAGGAGAGTTACTGGAATACCTTGCAGGCTAGTGTGTACTTAGTGGTAGAGTGTTTGCTCTCAGATTCAAACCCAGTGCCAACCCCCTACTCTTGCCTCAACAAAAACAAACAACCCCACTTTGTAAGCATAACCTTTCCTGTATGTACTAATTATTATGTTTTTTACATGATAGGCTTCAATTATGTGTAGTTATTTAGAAAGTTAATGTTTAGTAAACATTCAACTGGAACATATTTATATGCGTAACTACCTAAAAGAAGAGATGCAAATTAAATAAGAAATGAATAAAGTCAAAACATTTACCGCTTCTTCTAAAACAGCTAGCTACCATCAGCTGCCATTTCACTTGTGTGGGTCTATAAAAGAAAGGAATTAGTGGAAATTAGAGATGAAACAAAAATAATGAGACAGCAAAATAGATTCATTAAGCTTTCCACCTCTAATTCCTTTTGATACTTCAGACCTTTTGTTTATTTAATCTTTATTACCAATATACAAGCTCACAAATTTACAACATAAAAAAAATACTTGATCTTGTATTAGAACAACTAGGCTTTAATCAAAAGAGAGGGAAAGAGAACTTTATTTATACCCTTTTTGCTTTTAACAAGGAAATCACATTCTTTTCTAAAGTAATATTCATAACTAATACCTCTAGAGACTAATGTTACCAACACTCAGCACGCACAGGAGCCTGAGGCAGGAGGATTGCTGTGATTTTGAAGCCACATTTGGCTATGCAGTGAGTTCTAGGCTGGTCTGGGCTACAGCGGGAAATCCTGTCTCCACCCGCCCCCCATTTAAATCAGGAACACCTTAGGGAACTGTTTAATACTCCCTGCCCTTCAAATCTCCCTTGTGCTTACCCAGGGGCTTCCAGACAGCCTTCTTCTTTTTTTTAATTAATTAATTAATTTTTTATTTTACATGTTGATCCCAGTTCCCTCTCTCTCTCTCCCTCCCTCCCTTTTACCCTCTCTGTCCCTTCACATGCACCCTGACCACCTATCCTCCCCACCCCAATTCCACATGTAGGACAATGCCATCCAGTTGGGGTCATGTAGATCTGACAGGTCATGTGAAGTAGGGACTAGGGCTTCTCTCCTGTCTATAGGTTAAGGCAGTATCCCTCCATGGGGGATGTATCCGCAAGGTCCTTTTGTGCATCAGGAATACATCCTGGTTCTACTGTCTGAGGTCCCTTAGACTGCTCAGTCCTTCTGGCTAAGACCCATATTCAGGGGGGCCTGAGTCAGTCCCATGCTGGATTCCCAGCTATCAGTCTGGGGATACAAGGTGTATTCTAAGAGATTCATATAAAGTCCCTCACAGAAGGGGGAAGGAACAAGTCCCCCAGAGCATATGGGAGGTGGGGGGGGGGCAGTGAATGGAGAGAGAAGTAGGATAAAGAGAAGGGGAGGAGAGGAAAGCACGTGCAACTAGGAAGATTGAGTCAGGGTAGGAATAGAAGACAGGAGAGAGAGAGACAGAGAGAGAGAGAGAAAGAGAGAGAGAGAGAACATAAAAGAGGGAGCCATTATTGGTTTAAAGAGAAAACTGAACCTAAAGAAAGGTCTAGAGACCTACAAGACTGCTGCCAACTAACAATTTGAGCAACCGTGGAAAGGCTACCATAAATGCCCTTCCTGGATAGTGAGATCAACAATGAACTTATCCATCATCATGGAGCCCTCATCTAGTACCTGTTGGAAACAGAAGCAATGACCCATAACTAAACACTGAGTTGAACTAGAATCCAGATGCAGAGGGAGAGGACAAGACCAGGTTGCAGAAACACATAGGGAGAGCTGACCTGAACCAGACAGCCTTCTAACTCCAAGCTAGTTTGATGCCAAGCCTACCAGCTTTGCAGTTGAACACATATGGGCTTCAATCTCAGCATAAAGGCATGCTATTAATTTTAAGCCCATTGCCCACATATCTACCTTCTGCAATCTCAATAAAATACATAGTTAACTGTATTACTTTTCCAACTTTGTTCTTTTCGACTGACTATTTGGAGTCCCTAGAGATTCTATATGATTATTGGGGGGGGAGTTTCTATGTCTATAAAATACTATGAAGATATTGATAGCAAGAGCCTTGACCTTAAGATCACTCTTTCAGGAGTGATTCACAGCTTTAAGTGCACACTTTTTAGCTATACAATTAGATGAATTCTTAGTTACCTTATTCTTCTAATGCGGTTATAAATGATTTTATTTTTTACTAATTTCATAGTTGTCCCTTTGGATTGTTTATTGCAAATCTACAGAAATACAAAAAGATTTTTATGTGATATTACATCCTATAATTTTACTGACTTCTTTATTATATTTCAATTTTGTGCATATATTTCCCAGAGATTTTGGTATGTACAATCATCTTTATAATCAGGTATTTCGGACTTTATATATATATATATCATTCTGTCTTCTGGCCTTCAAGGTTTCTGCTAACACATCCCCCATGAAGGGATACTGCCTTAACCTAGAGACAGGAGAGAAGTCCTAGTCCCTTCTTCAAATGACTTGACAGATCTACATGACCCCACCTGGATGGCATCACCCTACATGTGGAATTGGGGTGGGGGGATGGGAGGGGAGGGTGGTCAGGGTGCATGTGAGGGGCCAGAGAGGGAAAGAGGGAAGGAGGGAGGGAGGGGGAACTGGGATCAACATGTAAAATAAAAAATAAATAAAAAACCAAAACAAACAAAAAGAAAAAGAAAAAGAATAATGTTCAATGTACAGCAATCGTAAATTCTAGCAATGAAATTGTTTGAAGACTGAGAAATACTACTTGTTCACTGATGTTCAGATAAGGAAATAGATAAAGTACATTATAAAAGGTATTAATATTCTTTTTGTTTATTTTGTTTTTCCAAGAAAGGTTTCTCTGTAGCTTTGGAGCCTGTCCTGGAACTCACTCTGTAGACCAGGATGGCCTCGAACTCACAGAGATCTGCCTGCCTCTGCCTCTCGGGGACTGGGACTAAAGGCATGCACTGCCACCACCACCTGGTGGTATTTAACATTCTTATGCAAAAAAAATATCTGTTACAATAGAGACAGTAAAATGAAAAACAAAGAAAAAACAAAAAAGAAAAATGAAAACAACTCATTAAAATATTTTCATGACCTTATTAGGCTTATTTGATACTAATTTTTTAGGGACTAAAAATAGTCTCAATGTAAGACATTAGCTAAATATAAAATCCAAACAGTTACTTACTGAATAAGAGATGCTCTTTCAAAGTACTGAATAGCTTTTTCACAGAATTGGGTATCAATGTAATAAGCTCCCAGCCACTCAATGACCTCAATATTAGAAGGGAAATACCTGTATGACTAGAGAAAATACAGAAGGTGACAATATAACTTTAGTAGCAATACAGAATATACTCCTGATTACTTTACCTATTATATGGATTTATTTATGAAAAGTATGAACATCAAAAGTTCTAAAACTATACAAGACTTAGAAAATGTAGGTGTACTTGACAGTTTTCAGTTACATATGATCTGAATCATATTAAATTTTTAAAAGAATCAGGAGATGCAAATCATGGTTTAAGAAAAATGAGTTAGTACTTTTCATTTTAATTAAAATGGATCAATATAGTTTAAGAATGTTGTATTTTAACAATTCATTATTAGTTTTAATCTAATAAGCCTTTCTAAAATTTTAGGTTCTATTCCTTTTAAATCATAAAATGTCAGAAACCAGAAGGAACACGAGACAGCACACCTACCTCATAGTAATACTGGAATGCCTGGGACTTGTCTCCCTCACTATCGTACAACTCTCCTAGTTTAGACAGAGCTTGGGAATCAGTCGGAACAACACTGATCAACTGCATCAACCATTCAATAGCTTGATTGGGATCTTCCATTAACTCGTATCTTGGGCAATGTCAGTTAAGATTCAGTCACCAACACACAAAATTGGAAATATTACAGTGAAAATGCTTCCAGGCACTGTTAATTCTAGATCTCTCCAGAAGGCAGGAAACAGGGCAGCGCAGCCATCAACACCTTTGTTCTCTCTCTAGTCTACAACCTCTTCAGCTTTCTTTAGCTGCTTCTCTTCCACTCAGAAAAGCAGACACATATTAATGTTTTAATGCTCCTCACTGTATTGGAAAAGCACTTTGATTTCTGTCATTTTGATAAACTTTGACTATAACAATGGGGAAGAGTTAAAGTTTAGGTAGGTTTTTCATATACTGTCACCTTAATTTGTTTCCTGTAAATATGTTTAGGAAAATGATAGGTATACCATTAATAATTTTAAGAACTCTAGATGTCAATTTAAATTTTTTTTCCACAAAATTTTAGAGCAGACAGCAGCTTAGTTATCTTATATATTTACTATTACAGTGCTTTTACAGAGATGGAAATGGAACCAGGGCCAAATATCTAGTAGAACTACTCAAAGCACTGTCCAGGAATGCCTGAATGTTTGCTCAGTGACCCCAGCTCTCTTAATTCAGTTTCAGTAAAGAAACTGTCTTCCTGCATTTTCTCTCTGTAGTTTCCTTTAGTACCTAGTAAGTCCTCTGCATATATACAACTTAAGTTTTCAAGTGAGATACACATTTGCTATCTGGCAAAGAACTTGAGCACTGTTCCGAAGGATTGCATGCAGTTTCAGGAAGGAGTCCAAGGCTTCGTCCAGGCGGTTTAGCTTCTTATAGGTGAGGCCTTGAGAAGAAAGAAAGCAGCAGCTTCACAGGCATAATTGTACTCAAAGCAACAGGATGAATATTTAAATGTAAGCAAAATCAAAGTGAACTGAGGAGTTTAAAAAAAGACAGGGGTTGGAATTTCTCCAAGCAGACATTATTAGGCACACTACAGTCAGCTCCAGTGGCTTTAAAGTCTATGGTGGTGGGGGCAGCACACGTCAAGGACGGCAGACAGGAACCAACAGATAGTCTCAAAGAGTGGAATAAATACTTCAGATAAGGACCCAGCTATAAAACTTAATAGACATTTAAAGTCAGTTGAGAAAGGGGTAAATGTGATGAAATGTGCTAGGACTGCCTGACTCTACATGACAGGGACAAGGGTAGACCCTTATCATTACAAAAAAATCCAAAGGACAAGAATAGAAGAGCTAGATCAGAGGGTAATGGGCAGAAGAAATAAATATGATTAAAAATATGTTATGTTCATGCAAATGTTATAATGAGGCCTAATATTATGTATGAGTAATACTAATAAAATGTTTTAAAAATTAAAGCTTACTTTTAAATTATATAGGAAAAATATCTAAAAATTTATAAAGTAAGAAAAGCATCTAAGTAGGCAGTTAAGTTACCCCAGGAAGGCCTATGCCCTTTTCTTCCCTATGCCAGTAAAAACTTTTCTAGACCACAAATGTCATCAGTCCCTTCTTGCCATTTCTCAGTGAGGTACCTCAATTCCCTACTTCTTCCCTTGTCTCCCACTTCATCTCCAGGGTTGGCAGTGAGCCTTTATTAGGCAGATATTGACTGACAGGTGGGTCTTCAACTAAACAGACCAGTTCAGATTGGTGACTTATGTAAAGCACAGTTTATCATTCTCACTAACAAACACAGACTCTATTCATCTCTTCCTCTTTCTGGGGTATGTACATGTACATGTATGTGTGCACGCACAAGTGTATGCATACATGTTGAGGGAGACCAGAGATCCAGATACATGTTGGGTGTCTTTCTCAAGTGCTCTCTACCTTTACTTTTTTGAGGTAGGGTCTCTTACTGAATCTGGAACTCATCAGTTCACCTAGACTAGTTGGCCAGCAAACCCCAGGATAGCTGCCTTTCTTCTACCAAGCGATGGAATTACAGGCTTGTGTTGCCTCACCTGGCTTTTTAAGTGAGTGCAGCGGATCAGAACTCAGGTTCTCCTGCTTGTGTGGCAAGGACTTTATCAACAGCCATCTCCCCAGCCCCTCCCCACTCCCACTCAGCTTTTATTTGTAAATTGTTCAGCACCAGGAAATAGTTTAAGAGCATCGGACAGCTAAGGAATAGTAACATTGAAAAGAAGACAAGAAAAAACCCCACAAAAATACAAACAAAATTCATAATCAAACAACAGCACACGCAAAGAGAAGCATATTTTAAAAGAAACATCAATAACCAAGGAAACTAGTCCCAGTATTACAGACATGTATGTGTTTTGCAATACCTCAGAAGCCACAGTGCCCATATCAGGCAACCTCTGAGGATGGGAAGGGGATGAGATGGTGTGGAGCCATGTAATAGTATAAATAATACAAACAAAATCTGAGGAGCTGGAGCGATGGCTCAGTAGTTAAGAGCACTGGCTGCTCTTCTGGATGACCTAGGTTTGCTTCTTAGTATCCAAATGGTGGCCACAACCACCTGTAACTTTAATTCCAACAGACTTGGTGCCCTGTTCTGGCCTCTGTGCTCCAGCCACACAAGTAGTGCAGATAGACATGCAGGCAAAACACCCACACATGTAAAATAAAAATAGAAAAATATTAAAAATTCTGAAGCATATTTGGCAAAACATTAAAATGTGTCAAATTGTGGCACCTAACACCCTCCAAGTACTTTTTGTATATTTGACATTTTTCACAACTAAAAAGGAAAACAGTCAGGCTTTTTCCCTATTTGGGAAGTGTTTAAAAACATCATCTCATATCATCAAAAACTTGGGGACACAGTCAGTATTATAGCTGTGGTAGATACAGATATTAGAAAAGTCTTTTTGGAGAGCAAAATAATACTGATCCAAATTTTACTCCACTAAGAATAATCTGTTATTTTTTTTTTAAAGATGTCAACAATTCCTTAATGTAACTTGCCATCTTAAACTCACCAATGTTATATAGTGCTTCAGTACAAGAAGAATCGTTTCTTAGGGCCTCTTTATAGAATTCAGCTGCCTTCTCATAATCACCATTTGCAAAAACCGTGTTCCCTTTATTAGTGAGAGCTGATGGGTTGTATCTATCTGAGTTCACAGCTAAGTCTGCATAGCTGCTGGCTTGGGCAAATTCGTTTTCCTAAAGTATAAAAGATATACAAATTTCAAGTCTCCAGATTGTTCTGAGATTATTGAAACGATACACAGACTTTCTGAGATTATAAACGAATATGAACAGAAACAAATATTTTAAATTTGGTTTTGACAGGTTATTTGTAGCTGTCAAGCTCAAACAGCCAAGTTTCTTATGGCTGGCTTTTCTAGTCTCATGGTTTGATAACAACGGTATTTATATGTAGGTGGTTCCATGTTCAACGCCCAAACCCGTGTCCTCATTTGCTGCGCGCACTGCCTTCCCACCTGAAGCACTGAAATAGCTGGGAGGGCCTCAGCCGTCCCATCGGCACCTGGCTGCATCACCCACTAGGCATTTGCACTTCTGCCCATGCACTGCTATCTGTCCCTCGCTCAGCCAGAAGCTTGATTAGGCCCCTGCCATCATTCACATGAGGCCCGTGGACCCCTTTGTTCATTGGGACATGGCCATCTGTGCCAGGTCAGCTCCGTGAGATTGGGAACCCCTTTAAAAAGCCCAACGCAGTGGCAAACACGGCAGGGTTGGAGTAGTCATCACTATTGCCTCCTTCCCCTCAACAGAAACCCTGTGTCCATCAGCACCCATGCTTTCCCTTCTCTTCTCCCAGTCTCTGGAAACCTATATTCTGCTTTCTATTTCCCTTCCTATCCTGGACTCTGGATATTAAGTGGACCTTTGTGTCTGCCTTCTTGTACTTGGTGTGTTTGTAAGGTCCTAGTACCATTTCCCAGTAGGCTGTTGCTTTTAATGGCTGACTAACATCCATGTATGGACACCACATGTGGCTTATCCCTCTGTCACTGACACATACTTAAGCTGCTTTCATTCACCGTTTGGTTGTTATGAATAATGTTGCTGTGAACATCTATGTGCCAGTCTTTGTGTGGACTCTGAACTATGACTTATATAAAGATTGGTACCAAGAAGTGGAGTGCAGCTGTGAAAAAAACTAAAACATACACCATTGTCTTCTGGACACAAACAGAACTCAGAAAAGCTGTGAGGGCTGCAGTTGAGGACTGCAGAGGTGGGGAACTCAGCGGAACCTGCAGAGAGGTGGGAAGGAGCTGCTATCTGTGGCTGAGTAAAGGGCAAATCAAATTTGTAGTTGGAAGGCAACTGGCATAAGTGGCACCCACCTACTTTCAGGAGTCCCAGTGATTGGCATCTAGTAGGCACTCAATGAATGCTTGTTACAGATGGTACTCTGCAACCCCATCTAAGTCATTTAACCTGAGATACCACTTTCTTCATCACTAACACAAGGGGCTGAAAAGTCTGTAGCTGTCAGTCTATAATGCTCTAGCATTTTCCTCGCTAGCTGGTTTTCTCCCCCAGCTCCCCTTACTCATGTTTGCAAACCCAGCCCCTGGCAGTACTTGTCAAGTCAGATCCTCAGTGTACCTCATTCTACTTATATTTTGCATCAGTTGCATTAGGTTGTTCTTAGGCAGAAATTTAGCAATGCAATACATAAGCAACTCTTAGGTATAAAAAAGCAAAACCTACCAGATAATACAGGAACGAGAGATTGGTTGCAGCTGCACTTTTTACTCTGCTGTCCTTCTTTTCAAACATTTTCAAGGTGTCTACAGCCTAGAAACACAATGTCTGAAATTACTACCACTGTTATGCAGCAGTACCCAAAGGTGTGGCTGGGGAAGGGCATATGTGGAGTAGAAGGCAGGGAGTATGGGGGGAGTAGCTCTAAGCCCAACAAGGCAGTTGGCAGGATGAGAATTTCATTCAAGAAAGGTATTTATCAAACAGAAAAAGGCAGAAATCCTAAAATAAGGAACAACAACTGAATTTAAGAGCACATCGATGGATTCAAAAGTCTATTAGACACAGCTGAAGGAAGGACTGGCGGCAGGGAAAGGGTCGGCTGTGCATACTGAGTCTTGAGTTAGAAGCGGTCCCCTCTTCATCCTGTGTATGGCTGGGATGAGGACATCAAGACTTTTATCTAACTCAGTCCAATTTCTTCTTGACAGAATATTCTGGGGCTTCTGGTTACAGGGACTGCAGACTAATCTATGGGCCCTTCTCCAACAGAGAGCAACCAGAGAAGTTATATAAACACTATAAACAATTTGAAAGGCACAGGAGAGCTATTGAGGTAACCAGAACTTGAAGACCAAGATCTCATAAGAGTTTCTGAATAAAGTACAGCAAAGGGATGAATATATTTTAAGAAAAATGTTCTTTAAAAAGAACACAAGACAGAGGCGAGCACAGAGAAAAGGGCTTTTATAAATGTAACTGGGATGCTTGGAGGAGGAAAATGAATGGTTGGACAGTTTTCAAAATCAATAATAGAAAACAATTCTGGGAATGTTACCAAAATATTACCTAAAGTAGATAAATATAATTACATCTTCAAGTCCTGAGAGATGAAAGAACATGTTTAGCTACCTGCCAAGTCTGATATAATGCTACATAAATGGTATATAGAACAGTTAGACATCTTACATGAACAATGCATAGTTATCCAACCTAGAAATTATTCTGATAGAAGAAAAAGATGAAAAGGGATAGTTTGTTTTATTTTCTTCCTAAAAAAAAAAAATACATTTACACTTGACATCTTGGTGTCTTTGATTTACAGTAAGCACTTGTGTCCAAGCAAAAATCCTGCCTGGTGCCATCAACTATACCTACCACAGCTAACTAGAAGAATGTGCATGCAGGGCTTGAGACTAATAATGTACCAGCAAGCATGCTGATTCAGGTTTGGTTAAGAATTCCAAGGCTACAAGTGTCACTCAGAGGTACAGTGCCTATCTAAAATGTATAAAGGTCTTGGTTTGATACTTAGCATCACAAAATAAACAACAACAAAAAACAAAACTAAATTTCACTACTTTGATTTCCATATGAACTCCTTTAATGGTTTTTACTCTTTGAAAGGGTTTTTTCAATGACCTTAAAAAATTGTTAGCCATTTCTAGGCCAGTCTAACACCAGAAAGGAAACCTCCTAACATCGTATCCTGCCTTTTCAAGCTGAGGAAGGAGGGTCACAGTGAGTCTGCGGCCAGCTTGGGCTTCACAGCAAAACTCTGTCTCAAGAAACAAAATGACCACATACACATCAAACAGACAAACAAACAAACAGGAAAAAACAGGAGATAACAAAATCTGGGCTAATTTTAACAGAAAAAGTTAAGAGTGGTTTCTAAAAAAAATTACTTTATTATTTTATGTGTATCAGTGTTTTGCCTGCATGTATGTCTGTATTTTATGTGCCTAGTGCCTGTGGAGGCCAGAAGAGGGCATTAGATCCTGTGGAGCTGGAGTTACAGATGGTTGTGAGCCCCAACGTGGGTGCTGGGAACCAATCAGGTCCTTTGGAGAACAGCCAGACTTGTAATTGCTGAGCGAGCTCTCCAGCACCAAAAATGCTTAGTTTTGGATGGACAGTAATAAAACATGAACCATGGCAATGTATTATTAGCCTGTTTGAAAAAACTTAAAAATAAAATGCCAAGATAAAACAGATAAATTTTCTCCACTGTATCTTCTATAACAGTATACTTCACATTCACACATTATTTTTCAGGTTCCAAGATCACTTCAGCAAGGTAACAGAGACCAATTTGTCTCACATCATATGATTCTATTGCAACAGGCTTACAGTGGCTGTTTGATACAGGATCTCATGGAACTCAGCTGACCTCAAACTTACCAGGAGCTGAGGATAATCTTGAACTTCTTTCTAATCCTCCTACCTCCACATCCCCAGTGCTGGCATTACAGGCATGAGCCACTGAGGCTGATGGTGGCATTAAAAAGGCTTGTTTTTGTTATTTTTATAATTATGTGTATGTGTGTCCTTGTGTGGTTATGCACATGTGAGTACAGGTGGCCTGGGGTCCAGAGGAGAGTGTCAGGTCCCCTGGAGCTGGATTTATGGGCAGTTGTGAGCCTCCATATGTTAGGTGCTAGGAATTGAACTCAGAACCTCTGCTGAAGTATGTGTTATTAACCTCTGAGCCATTTCTCCATCCCCCAACAGTGACAGGTTTAATAGTTAACGGTGTGACAATAAAAACACAGGACAGATGGGAAGATTCTCTGGAAGTTTTAGTGCTGTGTAAATACTAAGAGACTTAAGTATGGGAAATGTAAACACACAATCGCCCACTTCCTGGGACTGTAGCATAGCGGCCATTTAACTACTACATGGACACAGGGTTACTTCACTCTGTTCTCATGCTCTGAGTGAAGGGTATTCTCCCCAGTCTCTGGAGAGCAGTTACTCCTTTCTGTTGTCTCTCACACAAGAGGACGGTCTTTCAATCAGGAAGGAAAGAGAAGCACAGGCTTGGACAGCGTGGGAAAGATGCTGTGGCTTCCCCAGAGCCTTGCTGTCTGGGTGGAAAGAAGTTTTGGGTTTCAGGCACATGTGATACGCACCATCAGTCTGTGAACTAGGAAACCATGGTCACTCTGTTTGCTCTCTTTTGATACCCACTACCCTTTTCTTAAAACCTTGCCATCCTCTGCTTCTGTCTCAGCTCTGCTCTACCTGAGTGAGCACTGAAAGGAACAAAACACCCCACCCCATCCCCTAGACAACAAGGCAGCTGGCTGCCAATGAGGGGTCCCAGGGTTCTAAGCCCGTGTCTAGCACAGGGAGCCCTTCAATCCAAGAAACAGCCTCAGGGAAAGCTGTTCACAGAGGACAAGACAGGAACAGACCGCTATTTGGGTTGCCTGCATACACCAGCTTCTACATGTCTTAGTACTTTGCAGAGCAGTCTGGAAATTTCAAGGCCTGGGCCAGTATAAGTTCGGTAATTTAACAATATGCTATATGTGGAAAGTATTTGATTTAAGAAACAGGACCAACACATTAAAAACTTGTGAAAGTTTATGGGTCGGGGTAGAGCACAGGGATAGGGCACTTCAATAACATTCTAGAAAGGAGTTTCCCTGTATAGACTGCTTGGACCAACTGTCATGAGAAACACCGCTGAACTTACTTGGTTAAAGTCCTTTTGTCTCAGGTATGTAATTGCTTTGTTAATCTCCAGATCGTTGGCCAGCTCTACGTACTGAGAAGCTTTCACTGCTTCCACACACCTATATGGAGGGAGAGAAAAGCAGTACTTGCTTTCATTTGACTTATTTATGCATCGACTCCCCCTTCTCTCTCTCCAAGTGTGTGTGTGTGTGTGTGTGTGTGTGTGTGTGCGCGTTTGCATGTGTGTTTGCACAATGTATGTACCCTTTGTGAGATGCACACATGTACATGTGTGTATATGTGCACACATGGAGACCAGAGGTCAAGGTCAGATGCCATCCTCCACCATTCTCACCCATGGCCATGGCAACCCTTACAAGAGCAAGCACTTGATTGGGGCCTGGCTTACAGTTTCAGAGGTTTAGTCCATTATCATCATGATGGGAAGATTGGTAGCAGGCATGGTAGGAAAAGTGCTGAGAAGTAGTTGAGAGCAAATCCTGATCTGCAGGTAGAGAGAGAGAGCCTGGTCCTGGCATGGGTTTTTTGAAACCTCAAAGTCCATCCTCAGTGACACACTTCCTCTAACAAGGCCACACCTCCTAATCCTTCTATTCTTTCTAATAGTGCCACTGCACAGTGACTAAGCATTCAAATATATGAGCCTATCAGGGCCATTCTTATTCAAACAAAAACACTTATCAATTTTAAAAACAATTAACTGAGTAGTGATGGTGCTTACCTTTAATCCCAGCACTCAGGAGGCAGAGGCAGGTGGATCTCTCTGAGTTCAAGGCCAGCCTGGTCTACAGAGCTAATTCCAGGATAGCCAGGGCCATACAGAGAAACCCTGCCTCAAAAAAACCAAAATAAATAAATAAACAAACAAAAACAATTAGCCAAGCAGTGGTGGTACATGCCTGTAATCCAAGCACTAGGGAGGCAGAGGCAGGTGGATTTCTATGAGTTCAAGGCCAGCCTGGCCTACAATGTAAGTTCCAGGATAGTGAAGTCTGTTATACAGAGAAACCCTGTTTTGAAAAACAAAACGAAACAAACAGAAGGAGAAGGAGGAGGAGAAGGAAAAAAACAAAAACAAAAACAGAGGGCATGGATTGTTTCATTATGCCTGCTCCAGGCACTAAGGCTGTGATTCTGGGGCCACAGAATCCCTTTCTGCTACAGAAGCTTTTCCTGTCTGCCTGACACTGGGACAGAGGACTACAGGTCCTTTCTGCACCATCCGTCTCCATCTGCAGACATGGCTCATGAAAGTTGAGTTCTAAAAGAATAATCTGGAAAGCGGGTACACACAGCAAATAAGTCTTAAATGCTGACTACATGTCAGACATTATGTTCTGGTACACGGGCTGCAGGAGTGAATGTAATACTGTCCCTGCCCTGTGAGGAAAGAACAGAAAGCAAGCTCTTTACCATGAAATTCAAGAAGACTGGTGAGTGGCACCAGTCTCACAGATGCTGCAGCTCAGTTTGGAGGGCAAGTATGGACGGCTTGAGAAAAGAAAAGGTATCTTAGGACAAACAGACAACATGTCTAAAGGTGTAGAGGACCAGCAAGCTGTACCAATTTAAGGGACTTGAGAAGTGGGAAGACATGGCCTGGGAAGCAGGCAGAAGTCACATCCTTCAGAGTCTCTGTGGTGTCACAAGAGTGCTCACTGGACTCTCTAAGTCCCAGACAAGGATCGAGAACAGTAAGAATAGTGAGTGTCAGTGCAAATTCTACACTCAGAAAATTTAAAAATAAGATATGCTTGGGATTAAAACGTCTGAATTACACAGCATACAGAACATTCAGAAGACAGGCTGAGCTGGCAGCTGAACATGTGAGCCTATAATACAACACTGCATTTTAGAAAAGTATCTGGGATTTGACAGATATAAGGGACAGTAGGAGGCAGAAATGTTGAACTGGAAACTTTTCTACTCATGGGTCCAGACTATCTAGAAGCTTCTACACAAAGCAAGTTTCTGTTTCTCTTAGCACAAAAACTAGCTATCTTATTTGACTCAATTCTATGGCTGAGTGAATGAGCACCAGGCTGTCCAGCACTTTGGACCTCTGCTATGAGATATGTCCAGGCTCACACAGCACCTCAGGTGCCTCTATTTGCTGCTCTGGCACACAGACCTGTACCAGATTATCACCCAGAACATTATGAAGGACACAGATAAAGATGTGATGATGGCTCAGTAAGATGCCTCAGTGCTTAAAGCCTGACACAAGCCTGACAACTTGAGTTTGACTTTAAGACCCAACCTAAAGGCAGAAGGAGAATGGACTCCACAAAGTGGTCCTCTATACACGCCATGACACCCACATCCACACACAATAAACAAACAGAGAGAGATCATGTGTTATATCCTGGGTGATATCTGGAAGGGTCCTTAGCAAACTGGAGGAGTCTAGGGTCTTCCACCATATAGCCCAAGTATTTTGAGCAATCTATGTGTGAAGGGTTGCAGGCATCTGTAACACTGAGAATACTCTTCCTTCTGCTTGGAATATTTTCCTTCCCTCCACTTCTATCTTTATTAATTCTTCAGTTCTCAACTCAGATATCAATGAAGACCAGTTTACAAATTAGGCACTCCTACCAAGTGAGGACATAGTGAGATTGCTTTGTGATTGTTAATGTAATTATTTGCCAACTTAGTTCAACTGTAAACTTCTGGAATAAAAAAAAAAAAACCTGAAAACAACTTTGACCTATTAGATCACTAGCCTCAATAAACAAGTATTTGCTTTTGTTGTGGCTGTTGGCTTTCTAAGCATGACACTAAATCATAAATGACAAAGAAAACTGATTAATTTCATTTCTAAAATTCCTACTGGAAAACAATTTATAGTAGTTCTTTGTTAGGTGAAAACTTTTTCAGAATTAAGACACCTGACAAAAATAATACCAAGTGTAAGAGGTTAGAAGCCGTCAGTCATAGTTTTCTCAATCACTATTACCAACGAAGCTGGCAGTGCAGCGATCTGTATGTACTGTACCCCTAATTGAGCATCACTGTTTTCCCCATGTGGTTTTCCAACATGTAAGAGACGACTCCATCAGAGTGGCACATGGAGCTTTATAGGCAGACCCTAGCACCAGGAATGGCCTGATTCTTTACTATCTGCTTGACTAAAACCAGCTACAGCATGGATTCAAAGAAGGTACTTTGTCTTGACTACTTTATAAACTCTGAATTTTTGAGTCAAACCATATGCTTTGCAACCACCTCAGACCATACTTTTGTCATCAAGTATCCTATCCTAAGGAAATGGTACTCTGTGCAATCCTCAGAGATCTGTTGCTCTCTCCTTGGTCTCACAGCACACTGGAACCAGTTCTCCCGTACTGGGGTCAGGTTGTTTGGGATACATATACATACAATCAAATGGTTTAGGTGAGGGTGTCAAAACCAGCAGTTTCTCAGCTAACAATGTTGGGAATACTAGCACTTTACATGTAAAAGAATGAGGTTAGGTCCAACCTTAACTTATTCAGTTATAAAAGTTAACTTAAAACTGATTAAAGACCTAAGGGTAAGACCTAAAACTATGTAACTCTTGGAAGAAACCAAATGGCTCTGCAGGTAAAGGTACACACTGCCCAGACTCTGGAGCTGAGTTCCATCCCTGAGAGCCACATGGTAGAAGAGAAAACTGACTCCCACGAGTCTGAGCTCCATATGCACACTGTGGCATGCTCACACCCTCCCCCCAAATATGCAAAATACATTAAGACATTGGTTAGCAGTGACATCTTGGCTGTGACACTAGAAGCACAGACAATGAAAGACTAAATAGATAAATTAGAGTTTGTGCAAAAAGTCAATCCACAAAATGTGAGAACTACTTGTGAATCACAGCTGGTATTAATATCTAGATACAGAGAATTCCTAAAACTCAACAAGATGACAACCCAATTCTAAAATAGCAAGACTTGAAGAGACAGGTCTCTAAAGAAGACATAAAATGTCTGATAGGCTCATGAAAATATGTTGAAAAATACAAGCCATTAATGATAATTCAAAACTAAAATACCCCGTTAGGATGGCTACTGGTGAAAGCTTTGCCCTCTGAGATGAGAAACAAAACAAAACCATCTATATCACCACTTCTTCTTGAAATGGATGCCCCACTAAGACAAAGAAGCTCAGATAAGCATGATGGCAGAGGTAAGAGGTCTACAAGTTTGAGGCCAGCCTAGGATAGACAGCAAAATGTCTCAAAAATCGACAAACTGGCCAGGGATATGGCTCAGTGAGTAAAGTGCTTGCCACAAAAACACGATTTCAAATCCCTAGAAGCCAGATGGGGACAGTGTGAGCATCTGTGACCACAGCACTCCTTTGAGAAGACTGGAGGAAGACACAAGGGAATCCATGGATGTTAGAACCTGACATAAACAGTAGGAAGGAACTCATGGGCTGGAGAGATGACTCAGCAGTTAAGAGCACTGGCTGCTCTTCTAGAGGTCCTGAATTCAATTCCCAGCAACCAAATAGTGGCTCACAGCTGTCTATAGTAGGATCTGATACCTTCTTCTGGCATAAAGTTGTGCATGCTGATAAAGTACTCATATACATAAAATAAATAAATCTTTAAAAATCCATTCACATAAAGTAAAAAATTAAAAGCTACATATTAAAAAAATTGAACACATGAATTTTGTAGAAAAAACGAGCATTATCAGATATCAATACTTATTATAAGTTATAAAAAGTTAAAGAATGTGGTTAGGGCAGGGATAAGAGGATTAAAGACTCCAAAAACAGATCCTTGCAGTCACTTGATAGATGTCAAAGAAGACATTGTAACACCATGGGGAAACATGATCTTTTCCACAACTGATGCAGAGTTGAGTGGCAACTCCACTAAAAAGGAAAGAAAGAAAAAGGAAAACTAAACTTGACTTTACATGATAATTCCACATAAATCATCTATCTAAATGTGACAGGTAAAACTTCAAAGAAGTGTGGTGCCACACTCCTTTAATCTCAGCATTGGAAAGCACAGGCAGGTGGATCTCTGTTAGCTTGAGGCCAGCCTGGTCTTGTGACAGGGCAAAGGTTTCTCCATCTTGTCTCAGCTGGAGCCATTTTTTGTAGAGAGCCACCGGTGCCATTCCCGAAGATGGCACCGGTTTCCTGTCCATAAGCCAGCAAGGCGCGGATGTGCGATCCACGTCATGGGGTGACCGTTACGACCCGTTGCAGGCTGCAACTGTCAGTAACGGACACAGCTCCTCTGCAACTGTCAGTAATGGACACAGCTCCTCTATATAAGCAGAGCCCTTTTTCCTCCTCGGGGTCTTCCCTCAACTTGCTGTAATGAGTCGCGCAATAAACATAGCTGCAGAAGAATCCTGTTGTTGAGCGTCGTTCTTGCAGGCAAGGCGATAGCACTTGACAATTTTTGATTTAACCTCCAATGACTCTTCCCTACCCCCAACATTAAAAGTCTTGTGGGAACGTACCCAACCTTGTTCTAGAAACTCCGGGTTGAAATACACAGGCTAACTGCATGGGTTGGGCTTCTGTTAAACTGCTTGCTTGCTTTCCTTCCCCCTGCAACTCCCAACCCGGATGTAGTTTTCTGTGTTCTTTGCTTTTAAACGCTTCCTATAAATTGCATTAGGGTCTTCTCTGTGAGAAGAAGTCACCATTCAGCTTAATACAGACACATAAAAGTAAATAGTAAACTCCAAGACAGCCAGGAGTATATAGTGAGACCCTGACTCAGGAAAAAAAAAAATCTTCAAGAAAACAGGAAAATATTTTCATGACGCTGAGATACACAAAAATATCCTACTAACCAAATTAAAATAAGCAGAAACAAGGGCAAGGGTCTTGAACGGCACTTAGCACACAAAAAATAATTGTGTAGCAAATTAACATATGACACCATTCAGCCATCAAAAAACAACAATGTTGCCAGGATGGCTGGTTAAGATGAACTACTACAAAGTATGCTAAAAATTTTCTATATACTGCTGTGGGAGAAGAGCCAGGACTTGGTAGCTGTGGTGAACTTTGATGGACATATACTCTCAAAACCATCCTACACAGAAATAAAGGCCACAATCATACAATAATCATACAATGATACTGATAACAGTTTCAAATTCCAACTGAAAGCTACCACAATGCTCATTAGGATGCAAACAGATATATGGTAAAGCAACACTGGGAGCAATGAAACGGAAGAAACCCCAGTTACCTGCAAGGACACAGATAACCTTCACAAACAAAGGAGCTCAGAAGAAAAGAACACAGCCGGTGTGAGTCCATTTACAATACAGACTCTATACTATGGTTTAGAAAGGCTACACTATAGTGTTCAGAGATGCCTGGCAAGGTGGTTAGAGTATGAGGAAAAGCGAGGAAGCGAAGTGGGACACCCTTTGGCTGAGGAGGGTGGTGATGACATCAGGGTCTTCTACATGCTGAAAGTCTTTAAGTTTTACTTATTAAGCTAATACATTGATCCATCATTGAATTAATGTTGTTTTGTATAATTTTTATCTTTTAGATGAGGTCTACCTATACTGCCCAGGCTGGTCTTGAACCACTAGGCTCATGTGATCCTCCTGCCTCAGCTCCTGAACTGGTGCTACAGCTATGTATGTCAGTGTTCCCAACTGCTCCACATAATTTTTGTGTATACTTTATTTCTCACCAAAAAAGGATGTTAAAATGATTCCCATGTGATTACATGGGAATATGTAAAGAAGAATGCCAGAAGAAATAAGTGAAAACTATAAAAACAAACAAAACAAGACACATTCATATCTGGGCTAACCATTAGCCCTCTTAAGGAGCTGTCCCGTTTACGATTTACTGCATCTTCACTTTAACAGGGCCACGTGATTGATAGCTACTGGTATGAAAACAGAGCAATGTCTGACATCCCCCTCTTGCTCATCCCCTCATTTGCATAGTCCAGATTTCAATGGGCTAAAATGTTTCACAGCAAAGCTAGTAACCACTTAAAAAACAACCCCATGGCTACCTTTAAAAACCTTTAAAGTGGAAACGAGCTTCAAAAAGCTGGTCTGAACGAACAGAAAGTAGTCTGCTTCCCTTTACCTGAATAATTTTAAACATACAAACACACAACTGCCACGAAGCTAAATTAAATGGAAGATTTGATTGGCATCTTTCTTAGGCATGTCAGTTTCAAATGATGTACAAACAGAACAGATATCAAATAGCTCGATTTAAATGTTTTATTTAATTTCCAGTCTTAATGGTTCTCCAAACACTGAACAGCTGTCATGTCTTGAAAAGACTGTTGCTTAATCACCGGCAGTTAGTGAAGTGCAGGAAAAGATAAAAGGCAGAAAGCATGACAATGACTGTCATCTGGAATGCTTCCCTGCACACACACACGCCTCAGAGTCCTGCCTCTTTGCTGCTTTCCTCAGCCCCTGTGCTAATTCTCACTTGCCCTTTGCCTCTGGTTTCTTTATATTAAGTGTACACATAATATTGTTGGATGTGAAGTAGGATTGCTTTCTTTCTCTAGCCACTTTCAGGGTGGAGACATGCTCTAATGTCCTCTCCTGGGCAGGAATACAGGTTAGGAAAAGGGTTCCAATGCACGCTCTCAAAGCTGGCTACTGCCCTGAGACACAGCAGCAGAATCCCCCATGGGTTTTCTTATGCAAACCATCTTCTTCCCAAACTAGGAGACAACTTCCCCCAAATTCTTCCTTTAATTCTCTTATGCTTTTCACATCTCACTCACCTCCTAGACCTAGGTGTTTTCTAGAAGGCGGTGAGCTAACATTTCTGATCCATTCCATGGCCCAAATTCCCACTCCAACTTGGAGAACAATTCAGGTTTGGCTATACTGATGTGTATCTCTTTAGACAGACTCCAATAGTCGGTATGCTCATTTCCTGTGTCACAGCTGTCTGTCAACATGTCCTAAGAAAACCTACTTTTTTGTTAAATGGGAAGCTATCATTTCTCAACAGAAATATACTCAAGCAAGAATATTCACCCTGGCTTGAAGCAAGGGTGGTTAGGTTGAAAGGAGCATCTGGCTTGAGTGATTTGAAAGGTTAGAGATGACACATGGGAGTCGGGTACACTGTCCCCTATGCCTGTGATCCTAGCACTTGGGAGGTTGAAATAGAAAGAGCAGGTGAGTTCCAGGCTGGACCACTGTGATGGTGAGGGAGAGTGAGGAAAACCTGAGTGCACAATAGGAACAAAGATGCAGGGTCAGAGTCAGGCATGATGGCTCTGTAATCCCTGCTGAGGGAGGACTGCTGTGAGTTCACTAGACCTGTCTAAACAAAGGGAGGAAAGGATAATGAAAGAGAGGGAGAGAGAAAGGAAGGACAGACAGACAGAGGGAAAAACAGGCAACTGAAACAAAATGTCGCGGGCCAAACTAAAGCTTCCAGCACAAACTAAAACAAGACAGTAGGGTCCAGGTAGTGAGCTGATTCCAAACGCTAACCACAACTGAAACTTTTAATAAAAGTCCATGGCAGAGGGTACTTTGTTCTTTCTCTCAGTAAGAAATGAAAAGCAATCAGAAAATTAGGCCAGGGATGTGTCCATACTTCCTTCATGTTTTAGAAACCATGTGTGTACTTCAGGTTTTAAAGATCCAGGTAAGGTGTTATATTTGTTTAAAAGTTCAAAACAAGAATTCTGTAAAGATCAGATCTGCAGTTAACACAAGAATGTTTAGAACTCCTTACAAAATGAAACAAAGAAAATCAAGCAAATAAAAAGTGGATTCAGTTCAGAAACTAAATGATCCCCTATCAGAGTCATTATTAGAGAGAGCCCCATGCTGGTGTAGGGATAGGAAACAATTCACCCTGCTCATGTAACAAACGTTCTAGGACTTACCTATTCTAAAATGCTTTACTTCTTTCCAAGAAATAGATTATGTATGGAGACAACAGCCTCTTTAGAGTTATTACTCAGGACAGAAAGTTTAACACCAATGCCAAAATTAAGGCAGAAAAAGGTAGAAAAGAGGAAAAAAAAAAAAAAGAAAAAAGAAAAAGAACAGATTGGAATTTCTACAACAAAAGAATCTTAACAATGGCAGCATATTGGCCTTAACCCCATGAGCAATAAGAAAGATACCTCGGGTGGTGCCGGCACTCAGGAGGCAGAGGCAGGTGGATCTCTATGACTTCAAGGCCAGGCTGGGCTACAGACTGAATTCCAGGACAGCCTCCAAAGCTGAACAGAGAAAACCTGTCTCAATCCACTCCCCCCAAAAAAAGAAGAGGAGGAGAAGAAGGAAAAAAAATACCTTAAGAGAACTTTTACAACGATCAGCATTAACCTTAACATGTAAGATAATTGGTGTGAAAAGTACAGATTGGTACAAACTATCATGAATTCACTTTTCTAAAGCCAACATAAATTACAAAAACTCTAAATTCAGATTTTTTTTTTTTTGAATTTCACCCTTACCAGTTATAACCCACAGCAAAAGATGATTCAATTACAGGAGCAATAAGTTTTGCAGCTGTCATGATGTATTTTTCTGCCATGGCTTTCCTACATACACAAACAAAAAAGTTATATTTAGATGTGACATGACAGTAACTTATATTTAATTCTCAAAATAAATACTAAAGATTATCTATCAAAATTAGCAAACCACAGAAGCTTACTAGAGGCTAGACAGCCACATAATAAATGTGTTTATAAAGGCTAGGAGTGAGCAGCATGCCTCCTGGCACTGAGGGGGCAAACAAAGGTGGTCAGATCTCTGAAGTCAAGACTAGCCTGGTCTACATAGCAAGTTCCAGGACAGCCTGGACCATATTGAGAGACCCCATCTCTATAAACAAAAACAAGTAAGAAAAAAAAAAAAAAAGTAACAAAAACACCCCAAAACAGAAACTAAACAGAACCAAAACAAACAAACAAACAAAAAAGGGCTAGGAGTGTTTGTTCATATAAACATAGCACAAGGGAGGTGGAGGCAGGAGGATCATGAGTTTGAGGTCAGCCAGTCACAAGCTACTCTGACTACACAGTCAAACCCTGTCTCCTCAAACAAGGGCTGGGGATGTAGCTTAAGTGTTAGAGCATTTGCCCAGCATGACTAAGCCTGCTCCAATCCCAGCACTGCCACTCCCAATACAAAGATGTTTGTAAGTCACACTAAAAACAACTAGCAAACACAACTAGCAATGTGAGTGCCTCCTGGGATACAAGTGTGCCTTTCTTTTCCTGTTTGATGACGCCTTCTGACAGGGTAAAGAAATAATGAAACATAGATAAAAGTTCTGCAGTTAAATTACATAACCTACCTACGGACAGGAAAGTGAGGTGTAAACAGCCATTAATGAAATGGTAGATGGCTTAGTGGGTTCAAGTGCTTGATTAGCAAGCAAGAGGGCTTGAGCTGGATTCCCTATCACCCATGTAAAAGGCCAGGTGGTATGTGCCTGCAATCCCAGGATGCAGAGAGATGAGGATTCTAGGGGCTCAAGAGCACACTCCAGTCTCAAGAATCGATGAATAAGACCAGGCCTGGTAAAGTAGGCTTGTAATCCCAGTTTGAGGCAAGAGGATCACAATTTCAAAGCCAGCCTGGGTTACTTAGTGAACTCAAGGGTAGGTCAGGCAACTTAGTAAGCCTACCTCAAAATAAAAAGCAAAGACTAAAGATATTGCCAGTGGTGGAGCAGGGAACCTGGGTTTAACCTCTTACTATTAAACACACAACTTAATAAGGATAACTGGGTCAGCAGGAGGGCCAAGATTAAAGGAGAAAAAGGCATCCACAAAGTAGAGGATAGTGTGGTAGCTAAGCTAGGACACAGATGCAACTGACATGTTTTCCAAGAACCAGGGAGAAGGCAGTCAGTTTCTAACTACAGCCACATTAGTTAGAGGCCAAAATGTTACCTTTCACGTTCCATTTGCCTGAGGTGGTCATTTTTTATAGCTTCAATCAGTAAGTTAGTATGGGGATCATCCTAGGAAAAGACAATTGAAAAAGAAGCCAGAAATAACAATTAAAAACTTAAGATTTCTAATAAAACCCCAACAATTAGTTTTATAAAATGGCACTTAAATTAGTTTCCTTACATAGAGCAGAACTTGGTTGTTTTGTTTTTACGATTGCCTATCACATTCTCCATGGAGTCAGGCCAGAAAGAATTAAAACGAATACACAAAGCTATGGTTGTAGCATAAATAAGTGATACTATAGATTGTAAACTCAAATCCAAATGTGTTCATGGCTACCTATTGCTTAGCTTAATCCATGCAACACCCCACTGAGAATGTAGGCAAGGCTGTGGCTGGGACAGGGGCACAGTATCAATCTGAGTGTAGAAGGCTTGGCTTTAATTGCCAGCAACACTTAAATAAACCCTGATTTTATTTTCAAACAACACACCATTTTTCTCAGTATGAAAATAATGTATAATAATCCATATTTATCCATCACTGTTCCAGATATACATTCAACATTTTACACACATTGACCATTTAACCCTCACAATTAGGAACTGAGCTGCAAGAGGAGTAAGTCCTGAGTGGCAGGCCTGGCATCAGGCTTCACAGTCCATGCTCTTTCTTTGCTGGGAACAACAATACCCCTATATTCTATCAAGAAAAATCTACCCCTGGGAGGGAGGAAGAAAGACAGAGAGAGACAACAGAGACAGGGAGAAATACACACAGACACACAAACATACAGAGAGGAGAGAGAAGAGAGAGAACCCTCAGTTCAGTACAGTATTTGCTGTGCAAATAAGGCCCAAGTCAGATTCCAAGCACCCATGTAAAAATCACTGCCTTGGGGAAGTAGAGCCAGGAATGATCCCTGGAACTCTGGGACTTGCTGGCCAGCCTGTCTAGCCATATTAGTAAGCTCCAGGTTTTGAGAGCTACTGAGCTACTCTAGGTGGAGAGCTACTGAAGAAGACACCAATATTATCCTCTGGCCTTCACATCATGGACACATGTGTGTATATATACATATTTAGAGAGCAGGAGAGAATATGGAAGTGTACTGTTAAGTATGGTGAGCTACACTTGAGATCCCAAAACTGGAGAGGTTGAGACAGGAGGATTCAGAGTTTTGAGGCCAGCCTAGACTACAGGATGAGTTCCAGGACAGAAAAATTTAAGAGATCCTCAAAAAATAAACAATGACATTCAATTCTATAAGGCTGAGGAATATACCACTTTGATCTATATAAACAAAGGCAATGTCCTATGGTTTGACTTAATGTAACAGAATGCTAACAGTTTATGCATAAAAATCTGGGAAATGTTTTATATATAAAGAGGAGGAAGAGGAGAGGGAAGAGGAAGAAACAACAACATCAAGTTGCCCAGAAACTACCGTTTTTACTTTGGTTTGTTTTCTCCAAGTGTCTCATGTGTAAAATATGGATCAGTCTCTCTTCACTTAACATTATATAACTCCCCTTGGGTCTTTAAAAAGAAGACTTTTCAGACTGAAGGTATAGAGGATGTAGCTCAGTTGGTAGAATGTTTGCCTGTGATCCATGAAGCCCTGAGTTCAATCCCCAAGACTATAAAACTGGGCATAGTGACACATGCCTGTAATCATAGCACTCAGGAAGTTAAGGCAGAAATGTTAGAAGTTCAAAATCACCCTAAGCTACCAAGCAAACCTGAGGCCAGCCTGGGCTAATGAGACCCTATGTCAGACCAAACAAACAAACAAAAGGAGAATTTGAGGTCAGGTTCCGTCTTCAGTACTATTGTTCCAGCTTGTGTCTTACTGTTCTGATAAAAACACTAACCAAACCAACTTATGGTATGGAAAGTTTTATTTAGCTTGCAGGTTTCAGCCATCACTGATGGAATTCAGGGCAGGACCCACAGGCAGGAGCCTGGTGTCAAGGGACAGAAGCAGATCTGAGCTCTCCCACACCAAGCCTCAATCAAGAAAATGCCTACAGACCACCCACAGGCCAGCCTGATGGAAGCAATTCCTCAGTTAAGGGTCCTTCTTCCCAGGTGTCACTAGTCCTGTCAAGCTGACAAAAACTAACCAGAAAAAAAAAAAAAAGGCCACAGTCACATGGTCAAGGTAGAGTTAACTCTTATTTTTAATGGTTCTTTTCTAAAGAGCTTTGACTAAAATTGTGCAGTCTGGCTTTTTTTTTTTTTTTGAGCTTTTATTAAATATTTTTCATTTATTTTACATACCAACCATAGCTTCCCCTCCATCCTCTCCTCCTGTTTCCTCCCCCACCTCCTGTCTACCACTCCCCTCCATCCACTTCTCTATTCAGAAAGGGGCAGGCCTCCTATGGAAGTCAACAAAGCATGGCATATCAAGCTGAGGCATACCAAGCTGGCCCCACACCTCCCATCAAGGCTGGGTGTAGCATTCCAGAATGGGGAATAGGTTCCCAAAAGGCAGCTCATGTGTCTGGGATAGGTCCTGATCTCACTGCTAGGAGCCCCACAAACAGTCTGTCACAATTGTCACCCACACGTCAGTCTGTTTTAACCATAACCTCTAACCCCGTATCAAGAGTTCCAGTTTCAATTCAATGGGAATAGCAAATGAAATGTATTGATTGCATGTTAAGAAATCCAAGACATTCCAATTTGCTCATTTCCAGAAACAGAGAGGCAGATAAGCAGGAGATGCCGTGTAACTGTCATTTTAATACTCACACTTGGGGAGATATATTTATCATCTTCATCAATTTCTAATGGAACAGCAATTAATTTTTGGAATGCCTTCTTCATTTTCTCTCGATCTCCAATGGCAAAACAACTGAGAATTAGGTTGAAGCCTGCCTTCAGGTTAGGGGCCATACTCATGATGTGCTCAAATGAATTAATGGCATCTGAATATTGACCAGTTTTTATAAATGTAATTCCAATATTCTGCATTATTTTAATTCTAAACAAAGAGAAACATAGGTTAGCCGGAAAAGTCTGAACTCCTAACATGACGTTCAAGTTGTTGCACTTCCCTTTCTTCTTTCTCAATTTACTGTTTCATTTTAAAGCTTTACCAGTATAACAGACAGATAATAACATTTAATGACTACTGTCACATTTACATGTGTGGAACAATAAGTACATATTTAAGTCATTTCTATTACCTGAAAAGGAAACCTGTGCCTATTAACAGCTGTTTCCCATCCTCTACAAATCTACTTTCTACCTCTCTACCTTTTCTAGTTATTGTCTACAAACAGGACCATAGGAACTGTCAGGTTCCATCCCCCTAACACAATCCTGAGGTTCCTCTATATTCAAGACCTCGGTAGTTACTGCCCCAGATAAATTACTATAGTATCCATTGCCTCAGTTATTATTAAGCATATAATGTATGCCCCTAAATTAAATTTCCCAGAAATGATCAAACTTTTGGTTTAACCTGGGTTAAACCAAACTTCTAGAGCAGTGGTTCTCACTCAACCTGTGAGTCACAACCCCCACAAGGCTCACATATCAGATATTTACATTATGATTCACAACAGTAGCAAAATTAGTTATGAAGTAGCAATAAAATAGTTATGGTTGGGGTCACCACAACGTGAGAAACTGTATTAAAGTGTTACAGTATTAGGAATGCTGAGAGCCACTGTTCTAGAGTATACTGTCAATTAGGTGACCCTTGCTAAAAAGTAGCATCTACAAATAAGGGACCAATATATATGAACTGTCCCTTATGCCTCAAAAACATTAAGCCAATAAATATACTGTTTCTGTTTTTAAATATTGGAGTAGAAGATATCCTGACTTCTCCAACTTTTATATTCCACGGTGACATCTTTCAGTCTTACTCTCAAACAGTAGGAAGAGTGTGCACTGCAGTGTGTTTGACTGTTATGACTGTTGATTGTATAGCTATGCTGGCATTAAGTTGTATGATGTTACTAACAGCCTGCACTGTTAGTTAGTTTTATTTTTCTTGATCATATACTATGCCAGTATGTGATAACATGCAAATAGTTACAAGAGAACAGAACAAAACACTACATCTAAAACATGAATCTAATATCTCCCATATACAAACACTTCAAAATGTTCAGCCCAATAACAGCAAACCCCAAGTCATCTTGTCTCTGAAAAACTTTATAGTTACCAGGTTCCACACTTACCTCATTTCTTTATGGACACTTGGGATCTGATCTAAGGCCATACGGTAGAACTTAATGGCTTTGGAATAATTCCTCTGTTTTAAATAAATATTTCCCATATTCACTTTTAGTCTCCCTAATTAAAAAAAAAAAGAGTGTAAAACATTCTCATGCTTGTACTTTTCCTATGGTATTTTAGAGAACCTTTATATTCTCTAAAGATTTTTTTTTTAAGTTAGGAAGCTTTAAATACTTTAAAATGTTATTGTGTGTGTATGTGTGCAGGTACAGGTGCCACACGCACTTGGAGGTCAGAGGAAAACTCATGGAAGTTGGTTCTTCCCTGCCACTTTTTAGGATCTGGAGATTAACTCAGGTCATTAGACATAGGTACAAGTGCTATTTACTCACTGAGCAATTGCAATGGCCCAACCAGAAGTTATAGAAATAAAATTCTAACATCAAAACAGTACATCATGGTCATATGTTCACATACTTATCTATGAGAAATGGAACTTAACATGAATTAATTTCTTGAAAATATGGCTAGACAGTGGTTTTTATTACAAAACCAAAGTGCACTATACTAAGAAAAATACAAGACAGGAGAGAGACAGTTCAATGGTAAAAGCTCTTGCTGTTCAAGCCTGAGGAGCTGATTCTGTCTTGGAATATATAGTGGAAGAAAAGAACAGATTTCCTCAGAGCTGTCCTCTGGCTCCACACATACACCATAACACACACACACACACACACACACACACACACATACACACACACACACACCATACATATTTTAAAGAGGGATAAGATATTTGCAAACTACTCAATAATGGTACATAATTTTAATGTTTTTAAAGGAAATAATACTCTAATAAACCTTAATATTACAACAAAACTACACAATATAAATACACATTTGTCTCTTGGGAACATAGTCACACAATAAAAGAAATGTCCCATATGGTTGGCATGGCTCCTTCTTCCTACAATGATGCAATATTTTTTTTTTTTTTTTTTTTTGAGACAGAGTCCTAGAACTCCCTATGTAGGCTAGTTGACCTTGAATTCAAGAGATACACTTGCCTCTGCCTCCAGGGCTGGCATTAATGGTGTGCTTGGAATATCTCTTTTGTTTAGTATTAGGCAGTTTATTTCATGCCAATTGCATTTATTCATATATATGTACAGCTTTTCACATAGTATCTTTAAGCAGGGCACCACATTATAAATATAAATTTACTTAAAGCATAGATCATTTTATTATAAGAAAACAAAGTGAGGAAAGATAATTAACACTACAAAAGAACTACATATCTGTATGAAATATTGATCATAGACACCTACCTGCATTGCTAAACATCTTGTTTTTCACTATAACTTGGTAAGTGTTTAGTGCTTCTGCATACATTTCATTAGCTGAATACTGACTGGCCAAGTTGAAGAGAACCTAGGAAAGAAACATAAAAAGCCACACAATGGCCATTCTAGGTTCCATTCACTTGCAGTCATTCTAGAGGTTAAAACACTTGAACAAAGCTATGCTCAAGATACTCAGGCAAGCATATAAACCTACCTTGCATTACATGTAAATAGAAGGCAGATGATGGAGGGCTGTCCTCTAAACTTCAGTTAATTTTCTTTGTATTCTCATTTTAACTTGAGTAGTACTTAACCATTCAGTAATTTTAGGAAGACCCACAAAGAATAAATGTGTTTTGCTAATGCTACTGGTAGAAAAAGAAATAATCAAGAAAATGACTATTTAGTTCTCCTTGCAAGTAGAAATGAAATATTATATAGAAATAGCTTAAACCCTAAGGCGTATCAGGGAAGGATTTGTGTAACAAAAGATTTTTCTGAGACGGGGGTCTCACTATGTAGCCCAGGCTGCCCTGGAACTCTCTATGTAGAATAGGCCGGTCTCCAGCTCACAGAGATCTAACATTTTTAATATTTCAAATGATTCCTTTTTTCATTTATTTGACATATTCTTCCACTAATCAAGGAAGAATGTTTTCAGTATTGAAGGCATTTTGTTAGAAATTAAAGGTATTGATTTCCCCCCTCCAGCTTCACATATTTGCTGACTCAAAAATCTGCATTAGCACCTCATTAAGAGGTGCTCATAAATATTAAGAATGTTGGAAAAATAGAGGTATAAGAACGTGGGCTTACAAATGAGGGCTAGGAATGTAGCTCACAGTGAGGCGCTTATGTGGCATGCATGAGGCCAAAGGTTCCATTTCCATCACAAGTAAAAACAACTGAATAACTAATTAAATAAAAGAAATCTGTTTTCTTTCTCCCAGACAGGTTTTATCTGTGCAGTAGCCCTGGCTGTCCTGGAACTTGCTCTGTAGACTAGCCTAGCCTTGAACTCCTGCCTCCTGAATGCTGGGGTTAAAGGCATGAGCCACCACTGCCCAGCTAAACAAAATAAATACTATGCAAACAGAAAACAAGAGTGTCTTATGGACTAAACATACTAGCCTAAACCTGGATACAGAAGAAAGAATCAAAACAAGGCAAACCAAAAAGAGCAGGAGAAGCAATGGAAAGGAAAGGGACTAGCCAATGGTACAAGTTGGTTACAGTAAGAAGTGATGGTGTAGCTGGGCATGATGGTGCATGCCTATAAAACCAGCATGTGAGAGCCTGAGGCAGGAGGATTAAAAACTTGAGGTCAGTCTAGGCTATGTAGTAAGAATGTGTCTCTACACTAAGGGAACCACAAATAATGGTAATATACTACATATTTTTAAAAGCAAGAAAAAGGGGATTTGAGTGCTCTTACCATAAATGATCAGTGTTTGAAGAGACAGATGTACTTACTGATTTAAGCATCATTTGTCAAAATATCATATGGAACCTGTGGTGGTTTACACAAGAATGGCCCTTATATATTTGAATGTTTTGTCCACAATTGATGGAACTGTTTAGGAAGGATTAGGAAGTGTGGCTTTGTTGGAAGAGGTGTGTCACTGGGGGTAAGTTTTGAGGTTTTAAAAAGTCACATCATTCACAGTCAGCTTTCTCTCTCTCTCTGTTTATGGTTTGCTGTTCCAATGTGTTAACTTTCAGCTACTTCTCCAGCTCCATGCCTACCTGCCTGCTGATATGCTCCTATGATGGTCATGAACCCACCCTCTGAAACTGTGAGCCCCATATGAAATGCTTTCTTTTATAAGTTGCCTTGGTCATGGTGTTTTGCCATGGCAATAGAAAAGTACCTAAGACAGTACCCCATAAGTCTGAACAAATTTTATGATTTTGTGGAAAAAAATAACTTTTCCTAAATGCTATAAGAGACTAGGGATGTATGTGACAGAGTACTTGACTGGCAAATACAATGTCCTGGGTTTGATCCTTATCACTGGTGAAAGCAACAAAAACCAAAACAGACAAAAATGGAGAGACTTGGAATGGAGAGATCCTGGTAAACACATAGTCCTCATCAGGCACATCAACACTTACGGAGTACGTTAAATCCAAGTTGATATTCTCTGGAGTTGTAACTTGCTCTCGTTGCCTCACTAGGACTCTCTCTTTTCTTCCTGCATCTTTTGCCTTTTCTAAGGCCTGAAATCAGGTTTATACTTGGTTAAGACAGGGCCATGCATTCACCAATATTTATGTATCTTTATGATAGATGATTGAATTCATCTTCCACTTCAGATCCCCCTAAATGCCCCTTTGTGGCCTCATACAAAGTTCCCCCAGAATATTGTTAAAATGGCGCTCTGCAATATGAAATTGTTTTGCTGGAAAAGGGTACATTTACTGCAAGTTAATACCATATCATCCTTTTCTGCCACCTTTCAGACATGATTATGTCTATGTAACTTTTCCCCTCCCAGTTCCTAAATGTCTGAGTATTTTAACTCAATCTCAAAAGGTAGAGGATTTGGATGGATTTTGTTTGGCTTTGGGGATACTCAAAATTCAACAAGCTAAAAGATAGGTATGGCCTAATATTACAAAAATTAAACCAAACCCTAGTCCTCTGCAAGAATAGCGAGTGCTCTTAATCCCTGAACCATCTGCCCAGTCTAACATTGACATTGGTCTTTTGAAAGTGGAAACAATTCTGTATAGTACTTCCAAAACTCAGCTACCATGACTCATTGATCACATTGTGTGCTATAGAATACTATTTTCTCTTTTTTCTGAGACAGGGTCTCACTGTAGCCAATGTGATTGATGAGTCATGGTAGCTGAATTTTGGAAATACTACACAGAATTGCCAGAATTGCTTCCACATTAAAAAGACCAGTGTAGCTGGGTGGTGGTGGTGCATGTCTTTAACACCAGCTCTTGGGAGGCAGAAGCAGGTGAATCTCTGTGAGTTCAAGACCAGTATAGTCTACAAGAGCTAGTTCCAGGACAGCCTCCAAAGCCACAGAGAAACCCTGTCTTGAAAATCCAAAACAGACCAGTGTCAAAAAGAACATGTGTACATGTATGTGCGTATTTAAAAGTAGATATAGACATCAACACTTATCTCATAATCTGAATTTCCCATGTTTATGAACTTACCAGTTTTAAGTCTCCACAACTGTTGGCAATACAGCTTTCTTCTACCAGCTCGTTTACTTTCTTCTCCAACTGTCTAATCTTCTCTTCTGGACTGTTGAAAAAACAGTGGGTGTGGTTTAAATCATCTAATCACTAAAATCAATACTACAAGTTACTTTTTAACATTGCTGGAGATATGGCTTAGTGGTTAAGAGCACTGGCTGCTCTTCCAGAGGTCCTGGGTTCAATTCCCAGCACCCACATGGTGGCTCAACCATCCATAATGAGATCTGGTGTCCTCTTCTGGTGTGCAGTCAAACATACAGGCAGAATACTGTATACTTAATAAATAAATCTTTAAAAAAATATACATGGAATTGCAAAACAAAAAGCCATAATTGTGCTTAATAATTACATTAGTGAGTTACTCATAATAAATAAGCATTAAAATAAAGTGAACATTTATTTACTACCAAGTATAATAATCACACATCAAACTAAATGTGCCACCCTAAAACTTCAATTACTTCTCTTAAAACATTTGATGTGAGAACTGCAATTACATTTTATTGAAAAATAAACAGGTTTAGAAAGATCACAAAGCTAGCAAGTAATAAAAGTAGGATCTAGACCAGGCAGGCACACTGAGCCCTTGCAGCTGCATCAATGTTCCAGAATAAAGTGGCTGCTTTTTAGATCTTATGAAAAATAAAAATGTCCCCTATGGCTAGGAAAACTAATGTTCATAAAAGAGACTTAAAATTACTTATGAACATAAGAATGTTATAAAGAAAAATTCTAACAAGATTAATCAGTTTAAAAATCTTGGCTCTTGGAACCTGTGGTAACATGTACCTTTAATGCCAGAACTTGGGCAGCAGAAGAAGGCAGATCACTGACTTGGGGGCCACCCTGGTATACATAAAACATTCCATGCCACATAAAGCTACATAATGAGATCCTGGCTCAAAAACACTAAACAAACAAACAAACAAAACTCCAAAACAACTGACTTGGTTCCTTAAGGATGTGGTCCCTGGTAGGCTCTTATCTATGGAGCAAAAATTGGATTGAGTGGATTATAAATTATTTTTAAAAAAGGATATTAAGTTGTTGAAGGTGGTTTAGGATGTACATATCTAAGAGGAACTTGTGGAGTGAGGAACTACACATGATCAGAATACACTGTATACATGTATAAAATTCTCAAAGAATCAATACAAATTTTTTTTTAAATTAAAAAAACCCTCAACTTTATTAAGAGCAAATTATACTGGACTTGTATATAAAACTCAGTGGTAGAACAATTGCTGGGCATGTGCAAGGCCCTATTTAATTCCTACCAACACACACACACACACACACACACACACACACACACACACTAAAAGAAAAATAAAGAATTACCAAAGCAGTCACATTTGAAAATAATGTTAATGCGGATGCTACCACTTTCTTCCAGGAAAATAGTCTAACTCTCTATATGTACACTGATACCTAAATAAAATCCAATTGAAGTTACATCTAAGTGTTGTGAGATATTTTATTACACTGTGTAAATAAAGACATGCCCCTGTGATTGTTTTAATAAAAAGCTAAATGGTAGGCAGGACTTATAGCTGAAACTTGTAGAGAGCTCTGGGAAGAAGAAAGGCAAAGTCACCAGCAGAGGGAGCAAGAAGGAGAAGCAAAAGCCACAAGTCAGATGGCAACATAGATAAATAGAAATGGGTTAATTTAAGTTATAAGAGCTAGTGGAACAAACTTAAGCTATAGGCCGAGCTTCTAATTAAAGTTTTTTAAAATTATTTATTTACTTATTATGTACACAGTGTTCTTCCTGCATGTATGTTTGCACACCAGAAGAGTGTACTAGAAGAGTGCACTAGATCTCATTATAGATGGTTGTCAGCTACCATGTGGTTGCTGGGAATTGAACTCAGGACCTCTGAAACAGCAGTCAGCGCTCTTAACTGCTGAGCCATCTCTTCAGCCCTTCCATGTCATTTTTTTTTTTTTTTTTTGTGAGCTGGTGGCCCAATGAAAAATCTGCCTACATCCAAATAGATAGCTCTCTTAATTCATTATAAAAGAACTTAAAAAAAAAAATACAGGAATAAGTATATATTATAGTTTTATCTATAGACTCCTATTCTTTGGGAGAGACTGGGACTAAGACTATATTTTCTAATAGTCTATAAAGAGCTTTAAAATTCAAATTGAGCAATAGCATAACAAATGGAAATTTTATTTAAAAATGGTGAGGGGTTGGAGAGATCAGTGGTTAAGAGCACTAATTACTCTTCTAGAGGACTAGGGTTCAATTCCCAGTACCTACATGGTAGCTCACAACCATTTGTAACTGCAGTTCTAGGGGATTTGATGTCCTTTTATGGCCTCTGTGGGCACCAGACATACATGTGGTACACAGGTAATATACAGGCAAAACACTCATATACACAAATTAAAAGAAATATAAAAGTTTATATATACTCAATTTATCTGAAACACTCCAATAAATGTCTTTTTTTTTTTCTTCTCCAAGACAGGGTTTCTCTATATAGTCCTGACTGTCTCGCAACTCACTCTGTAGACCAGGCTGGCCTTGAACTCCTAAGATCCATCTGCCTCTGCCTCCTGAGTGCTGGAATTAAAGGCATGCACTACCACTGTCTAACTCCAACAAATGTCTTTAAATGTTACTTATAGATTGCTACTAAACCAAAAACATTAACATACAAATTTTAAATGAAGACACTAAAAGTAAATTATGCCCTAATAAGTACCAATAAAATAAACTTGATATGCAGAAACTGTTAGGTATCCTGACAAGAGCCTGCTAGCCAGTGCAGACACCAGGCTAGTGTAGAGCACCCCACTCTCCCTCCCAGACGTTGACTCAACCCTGAGACTGTGATGTACTTGAGGTCAATGAGAAACAAAGGCACATGAGTTTGTGGTAGAGATCTTCCAAGGTCTTTGCTTTGTTGAAAGGGACTGAAATCATTGAATTTTCAGCTGCTAAATTTTTCAATTACATGTTATTCTGAACTCTCTCCACTCTCTGGGCATCATACTGATAAGCAGACTCTTGGGAAAAGCCAAAAGGATGGAAGAAAAGCCAAACAAGGGCTGACATTATTGAACAGTACAATCAGCCACACCAGAACTGCCTACCTCCACAACTCACTCTGTGTAACATAAGAAACACTCTAATTATGTGTGTGTTTACAGATTTCTCTTCTTCATGAGCAGTAAAAAGGATCCTAAATTACATTACTACTTAAATAACACCTTTCCTCCTACTAGCTTGGGTACAAAATAAATTGGCCATCTATAGAGGTGCTTTGGTAGTCAAAAGGGAACTTATATAATATATACAATAGCCCCAAATACTGTGTTTAAGAACTATAATTTTAAACATAGGAGGGACTGGGTAGTAGTAGTGTAGTAGTAGAATGCTTGCTGGTATGTATCAGGCTCTGGGTTGGACCTTCAGCATCATGAAACCAATCAATCAGTCAACCAACCACACGCATGAACACACACAGTAACTAACATGTACTCTGGAACCTGACAAACTTGAGTTTGAATTTCAGCCATGTCCTTTATCAGCCTCAGCAAGCAAAGACCCTAGGCTGCCATTCGTTCTCTCAACCGGTGATAATAACAGCTCCATTGTGATGTGTGAAGCTCTGTAGTGCCTGCACACAGCAGACTCACTAACTGCCAGCTGCTCTTTCGGTACCATGTGTGCACCAAGGGCCAAGGCAGCATGAATGCACACAGCGGTGAACCCTGAAGCTTTTAGGTTTCTGTCTAGACCACTAGAAAGCGTTAATTGTTTAGAAAATAAATTGCTCAGGCTAAGGTTATAGCTTGGTGTTAAAGCTCATGTATAGCAAATATAAGGTCCTGGGTCAACCCCTGCACCTCACACATACACAAAATTAAACTGGTAAATAAGTAATATGGCAAACTAACTTGTTATTTTTCTCTTAAATACTTTCTTTGAAAAATACGCTTTTAAAATAACATAATATTTATAATCCTGTTTGGCCTTCGAGAGATTTACTACTCATGAAAATTAGACCATAACTTCAGTCATCTAACAGTCCAATGAGATTGCACGGTTTCATATGACTATTCCTAGATTTTTTTCTCTAAGTTCAAGAATGGGGGATGAAGTTTTTCATCAGCATGATGCTCATACAACCTTAAATAATCTAGGGGAAAAAAGCTATTCAGCAGCAGCAGCAGCAGCAGCAACACCACAGAAGCATAAGGCCTTGCATTACCTATCTTCGTTTTTGGCTTCCAAAGGAGGAGCAGGGCCCCTGGACTGGCCAAGGGGGTCAAACGCAGAGCCTGAGACACAATTCAAGAGTTTAAGTTTATGATCCAGCAATGTTGAAGAGAATCTTGTATACATTAATTTACCATTTATTATATAGTATAAGTTCAATAAGCAAAACACTTATCACATTTCATGGAAACTGTTAAGATTTTTAATGCACATGAAACTATAAACAAAACTTACAGATAAACAAACAAAAATAGATAGCTTCTGCAGTATTTACTTTCTTGCTTCATAGGTCTGTATTTCTAGTGTGAATTACTTATTGGTATAAGTAAACATTAATTTCTGTTGGTTTTATTTCTATTATTTAAGGAATATTTCACCTTCCATTTTTAAGATGAGATTCTAAATTATACAACTCCCATTTTAGGTGCCTCTTCAACACACTCTGACATATTACACCCTGATGTAAACCCCACCCCAAGTGAACTACAGCACAGTTTCACCAGCCCTTTCCTCCTGCTCTCCATCGTGGCCGGGCTAGAGAGAATGTGCGGCACACCTTTAGCATCCCATGTGCTGGGGTCCTTGGTATGAACCACCACAGCCAGCTTACCCCTTTCCTTTCTCAATGGTACCCTCAAAGCATGGTGCATCCTGTAATCAATGGCATGTCTGATTTTATTTAGAATGGAAATGATATGCACATGCAACAATGGGGGCAGGTGCTGGGGGAATGAACCAACCTCTCAAAGCTGCCTTGGAAAAGCCAGCTGCTCTCACTGCTGTCATGGGTCGAGCAACTCCATCCTTCAAAGGACAAGAATCATTTAAAACTTATTCTTGAGTAAGAACTATACCTGTTGACAACTCTGCAGATCATACACATCCTGGCTTTGAAACAATGATTTATTTTATTTTATTTTTCTGGAAATTGTTGTTTTGCTTGCATGTTGTTTTGCTTATGTCTGTGTAGGGGTGCTGGATTTCCTGGAACTGAAGTTATAGACAGTTGTTGGCTGCCAAGTGGGTGCTGGAAATTGAACCCAGATCCTCTGGAAAAGCAGACAGTGCTCTTAGCTGCTAATCTCTTTTTAGCCCTGATTTCTCGTGCCTTACTTCTGTATTCCTGTGCAGCAACCCTGTCCCCTTTTCTTTCCCCTCTAAAATTTAAATGCCTTGACCCAACTATTCTTCTATTGGTTATAAAAAACAAATGAACGAGTTTGTCAGCTACTCCTGTATTTCTGGCTGATCTCCCATATGCTACAAGAGAAGCCATGGAAATTGCTGTATAGGGCAGCACAGGAGATCGTTCCAGATACTCCAAAAGAAGAGCTCAGTCTGTCAACTCTAACAGGATCTCACTTGAGACCTGAGCATACATATCCAAAGAAAGCATGCTTCTGATGATTCAAAGTAGCCCAAATATCACCCCACAATGTAAAGGTGCTACTATATAAGTAACATCTTTGTTAGAATTGTTACAATATAAGAAGAGGCAAAAACAAAACAAAAAACCCAAACCTTTGTTAATAAACTCTAAGTCACAAAATAAACCACAAGCAAACATACCTGAATAGTCCCTGTCATTGGCCTTCCCATTGATGATGTCAGGGATGTTTTAGACTAATAAAAAGAAAAGCAAATTAAACCAATTCCTAAAACAGCTGCCTGTAACTTTACAAATCAAACTGCAGGCAGTTCTCTTAATTTCTTCACTCTATCTACCCATAAACACAAACAATTTTTTCCACTTGTCATTTAATAGTGTGGGATCAATTTGCAAAACTTGTTTTTATAATTTTAAATTTAAATTTGTTATGTAAAATTGGTCTTACATATCAATCCCAGTTCCTGAACCCTCCCATTCTCCCCTGTTCCCCCATCAACCCCCATCCCATCCCCTTTCTGCTCCCCAGGGAGGGTGAGGCCTTCCATGGGGAGTCTTCAAAGTCTGTCATATCATTTGGAGCAGGGCCCAGGCACTCACCCATGTGTCTAGGCTGAGGGAGTGTGCCTCTATGTGGAATGGGCTCTCAAAATCTATTTGTATACTAGGGATAAATACTGATCCACTACTAGGACAAAACTCTTAAACGTGTCAGCCTGCTTCATAAACATGGTTTGCTGGACTACAGCAAAGGCCCACCCATTTACACACCACCTGTCACTGCTTTTGTTTTCCAAACACCATTGCATGGATACTTGTGATAAAGACCATTTGATCTGTAAAACTGAAAATATCTATTCCTTCACGTCCTCTTACTGTGAAGCAAGACCAAATGTAAACCCATCCTCAGGCTTTCTGGAGGAGACGCTGTTAGGGCAAATGCTCTGGGCATCTGGGCTGTGAAGCCAATTTGCTGACCTTAGAGTACATGATTATAAAGGTTAAAAAAGCTACTCCACTCCAGTCTTTCATTTTTCTACCATTTTTTCTTATTTAATGCAAGCCAAAACAAATTTAGGTTCATTAAGTGAGATTAAGAGGATTATTACTCCTAGTGAGTTCACAGACTATTTTCCCCAAAGGGTGAATAAGACAAAATCTAGGCATACATCCCTGAAATACTTTCTTACATTAATTTTTCACTGGTTAAATTATTATCAACCTAATATGCTTATATAACATCTAACTTGATGTAGAACTCATGAGTGGGATGTACACAAGAGTTGGTTATATTATGTGGGAAATGGAAATCAACTGGCAAACAAGAAAGTCTACAAAAACAAAAGGGTAATAAAATAGTTATACAAAAATCAAACTTACTAAAATAGTCAAAGCTATTACTCAAATTAGACTTTTTAATATGTATAAATATATATCTGGGTCATGACTTGACAAAGCCCAAATTATTTAGAACTGTTGCACATGAACTTACACATATTTTAAGAAGTATTTTAGTATTTTCCTCTTCAAGGAACCTACCCCATATCCAGTGGCTATGGGTCTGCTGACTGCTGTGCTTGGTATTTTAGCAGTTACCTTGGGGAGGAAAGGGGCATCGTAAGCAGTACTCAGATCAAGCTACACACTAAACAATGCAGAGACTCAATGATAAAGATATGTTGTATTTGGTGTTCCTCCCCAGGGAAGAACACACCAATTGGTTGTCTACTGCCAAGTGGTCATACATGCAAATAACATTATATGAACTGAGTAGGTTATATTTAGGAATATATATATATATATATATATATATATATATATATATATATATATATATATATGCCTGCAATAACAATGAAAAAAAAAGAGCCCAGCACCCAACACAAAAATACTGCATGATTCCACCATGTGAGGAATCTAGTAGTCAAAGGTATAGAAACAGAAATTTGAGTGTTAGCTACTGAGTGTTGGGGAAGGAAAAGCTGAGGGTTATTTAATGGCAGGAAGTTTAAGTCTGCAGGAGGAGGCCGTTCTGAAGCTCTATCTCACAAAAACTTAAAAGAACTTAGCATTACTGGGTTATACATCAAATATGACTACAATGGTAAGTTTTATCACATGATTTCTACAGTTTTATCTTTAGTTTGCTTACTGGAGGTCTTCTGCCATGACTGGTTCTCACCGCTTGCTGAAAACCTGTGTCATTCTCCAACTCCTAAAATGAAAAGGCAAATTTAACATTCAAAAGAAAGGTGACAAAATTTAAACTTTTCTGGTTCATATTCAAGACCCTTTATAATTTATCTTCCCCAAACAAAGACTCCTATCTTCAAATTCTACACCCCCAACCCCCCAAATGTCAAGGTTCCTTCTACCCCTATGGAATCTTGGAAAACATCTTTTTGCAAAAAGCTCAGCCAAAGTAGAAGAATGAATTATGCTGGTGGGTGCCTTTGACTGCACACGTCACAGAAAAGCCCTCAGTGTTTATGGCTGAGAATTGTGTTTGTGTACATATTCAGCATCATTTACAATAACCAAAACCCCTAAAAGAGGGTGGTACCATCACCTGGCTAACTGTCAAATATTCAAGGACACACCTTTCCTCCCTTCCTTTCTTCAGAGTAGCTGGAGGAACTAGATTGAAATCTTTCTCTTTCGCTCTCTTCTCTTCTCTTTCCCTTCTCCACTCCCCCTTCCCCTCCCTCCTTCCCCTTTCCCCTTCCTGCTCTTATATTCCAGGGTCACACTGAGGCTCCTACCTAAGGGAGCTGTAGGATAGAAAGGATCACATTCTGTCTCACCTGTGACCTGATTCTCCTACAGACACTTCCTCATCATGATGCCACTTACCACACTAATGGTAGTATAGCTAAGTAATATTTATATTGCTAAGTATAGTAACTAAAAGTATAGTAACTAAATATGACACTGACGAGGATGAATGATACAACTGCCCAATCTTGGATATTTAGCCCCAAACTGTGGCTTAAGCATTTTGTTTTTCTACATGGTTCCCAGACTCAGGTATTTAGTTATAAAACACTTTAAAAATAAATATAGCCAATGAATATAAGTCACTATAAATTAACTAGAAGAAACCTTATGAATAATCAAAACTATTACATAACCAAGCTATTAATCAAATAAACTTTAAAATATGATTTTATCACATACATGTGATAAATGTATACTTATCACATTAATATATATGCTTCATATTTACAACTTCATATCAAACTTACAAAATTAAATATATACACAACTCTTAATCATAAAAACTGGGAACTTTCATGTGAGTCTAAAGTCAAAGGCAGCCACCACGATAACTGACTGATGCCTTTACTTTGGCAGATCTTTGGCCAAAAAGATGTCTAGTAGCAAAATTGGGCAACAAAGAAATTTAACTAGACCAAAATGTTTTTTTTTTTTTTTTTACATGGCCAATCAATGCTTCAATTACAAATGATAAATACAACTCTTTTTTTTTTTTTTTTTTTTTTTTTTTCAAAACAGAGTTTCTCTGCGGCTTTGGAAGATGTCTTGGAACTAGCTCTTGTAGACCAGGCTAGTCTCGAACTCAGAGATCCACCTGCCTCTGCCTCTGCCTCCCGAGTGCTGGGATTAAAGGCAAGTATCACCATCGCCCAGCCTGAGATATTTCTTTCACAGTTCTAGTTAAGATGTAAGAAATCCAAGCATAAGCCAAATGTCATTTTATTTTGCTGAGTAATTTGTTTGGATGGCTCATATTATTGTTTAAAATTGAATCATGGAAATACACTATGACAACTTGAAAGGATAGAAAGTTTCTGATTTTTTAAAACGTATACTTTTATGATTCATTAATTCCACTATGTAACTCTATCCTAAAGGAGTTTAATCAAAATGCAGAAATTATTCATGCACACATTTTTTTTTATTGTAGTGTTATTTACAACAGTAGAAAACTTGGAGGAAGAAAACCTGTAGTAGAAATATGTCTAGTCAACTTAGTGTTTTCAGTGTTATGCAGCCATGAAAACCCTATTCACCTACATATGTAGCATCATGACATGATGTACTAAGTGGGGGGAAAAAGCAAACAAGATTGCCAATCCCAAATATGGTAACAGAAATTTGTATACATATGAAGAAATAAAAGAAAACACAGCAACTCCTTAGCAGCAATTACATCTTTTGTATTGGGAAATGGGAATTTTTAAGACAGGACTTCAATATGTAGCCCAGGTTGGCCTTCAAATCAATCATGATCTTCCTGCCTCAGCCTCTTAAGTGCAAAGATTAAAGATGTGCACTGCCATATCTGGTTCATACATGGCTGTTTCTGAATGATGGGTTCATCAGCAATTTCTTTCCAACAATGGGCACAGACTATTTATTTTGGGTTGTTTTTGGAGCTTGAGCTCAGGGTAGGTAAGCATGCTACCATTTTATTACTTTTATACTGGGAGAAAAAGGGAGGTTTCAATGTTCATTTGTTTATTAAAACAAAACTAACTTTAAAAACTGCAACTCAAAAATTTTAACTGACATTGAATAATTTCATCTGTATACACGTGTATTTATATACTAGAAGGGAAACAATTGCATATATTAAAGAACAAGAGAATACAACAAAATATTAGGTTGTGATACAGTGTCTATAATCTTCAGGTGACAGAATCTTTTACTGTAAATATTTTACTGTTATTGTTAGGTATTTTATTATTTATTTTCTCCATTTTTCTAGATTTTCCTACTTTTCTGTTGAGGCATGTCCCACCACACCCACCCACTGTCCTTACTTTCTGTAATGATCAGTACCCACAGGTTTAGATCCCCCTATTTTCCTTCTTGCTTCCTTTCTACATTCCAGTTCACAGATAGCCTCTTTTCTCCAAAAGTGAAATTTCCAGAAAGTCATATGAAAAATTCTAGAAATGAGACTTCATAAAGTCCTACACACACTAGTATTTTATTCTTATATACTGACAAATAAATCAACAACCACATCTTTCTTTTCTTTGTTTTTGAGACCGAATGTCACTATGTAGCCCCTACAGGTTTGGAACTCACTACATAAACCAGGCTGGTCTCAAATTCACAGAGATCTGCCGCCTCTGTCTCCTGAGTGCTGGCATCTAAGGTGTGTGCCACTGTGCTAGGCACTTTCATTCTTTTACCATGGTTAAGAGAACTTTTATAAAGTTTTCTGTTTTATTTTAGTTTTACAAAATTCAAAAACTGTAACTTTCATAAGATGTAAATAGGTGAAAATATCCAAATCTGTCTTAGTACTTTTATCTTTGTAATTATTATAATATTAAACAGATTACCTGAGATAAATGGGAATTCACGAAAAAAAAAATACCAATACACAGCATGATCCCATATTATCAAAAAATATATAGATATACATATGTTGGCATAAGGGAAAATCTGGTAAGATAAGCACCGTAAGTTAATCTGCAGAGTAACAGTTTCCATGTCTGTAATTTTTTTCTCTATACTCACTTCTATTTCCTAATTTCTATGTAAAATACATGCATAACAAGGAAAAATAACTACATGGCATTTAGGAATAAGAGCACCACAAAAGTGTCTCGACGCTAAGGTCCTTGGAGACAATGCTGAAGACTGAACCCAGGGCCTTGTGCAAGCCAGGAAAGCACGCTATCAAATGAGCTGTATTCCCTCGGGGACCATGGCAGGATCTTGTATGTCAACAAATCCCAAATTAGAAGATAGCAGAGACTGGAAAAGCTAAATAAACTGAGGCAGGAGATATGGCTAAGTGATTAAGAGTACTTGCTGCTTTTGTGGAAGACCTGGGTTTGGTTCCTGGCACCATGGCTCACAACTATCGTAACTCCAGGTCCAGAGAATCTTCTGCCGTCTTTTCTGGCCTCTGCAGGCATGCACACAGTGCACATGTAGGCAACACACTCATACACATAAAACAGAAAATTGAAAATCTTTAAAAAACTTTTTAAATAAACAAAACCAAAATTGATCCTAGGTATCTCCCCATTATCCGACCTTTTACTTCTGCCAATAGCTAGCGCTGAAGAATACAAGTATACAGCTATCCTGGTTCAGTTATATGAGCCTTCTCATGGTCTTCCCTTCTGCTGCAGCCACTGCCATTGGTAGAAATGACGTTATTCATTAAGTGCTTTCCAACTTTTTAATACTTTACTTAATCTGAAGTGCATAAATAGCAAAAGCCAACTAAATCCAAAGTCTTCATGAACCAGCTGAATTGGTTAACAAAAGGCCAGTGTAAAAAAAAGTGGTTTTACCTCAGTATCATAGGCTGGATTGTAGTCATTAAAACCAGAATAAAGATCGTCCTCATCTGTTTCTGGTGCCAGGTGCACATTTTCCATCATTTGTACCTATTAAAAAAAATCAGCAATATAAAAATGTTCCTGGTAATAACAACTTATTTTTCTGATGCTAGGAATTGAACTCAGAGCCTCATGCATGCTAAACATGCTATAAGTCATACCCAGGCCTACAATTCTTTTTGTTTTGTTTTTTTTTCTGTTTTCTTGTTTTTTTGAGACAGGGTTTCTCTGTATTGCTTTGGAACCTGTCCTGAAACTTGATCTGTAGACCAGGCTGGCCTCGAACTCACAGAGGTCCACCTGCCTATGCCTCCCGGGTGCTGGGATTAAAGATGTGTACCACCAACTCCTGGCTCCAGGCCTATAATTCTTAGTTCAAACTAGAATCAATCAAATTCAATCATATTTTATGACCTCTGTTTTTCCAAATTCCCCAAACTGTCAAAACAAACATCTACAACCCTTATTTCACATTTGCTCCACATCTTCTATGTAAGTGACAGGCAATGACAGGGCACAGTTGATTCACAGAGGTAAATATCAAGTACAGAAAAAAATGCAAAAATCAAATAAAATGTAAGGCAAAGACCTTTATAGCCCAGGGATTAGTGCTAATTATAAAGACCAACAACACAAAACGTCAGCAAGGAAGAAGGCAAGCAGAATACCTACTCATCATTAGTGGGAGCATAAAATATCACAACTATGCAAAAAGGTCTGCTGCTTCATACTATTAACTTTTATGACCTAGAAATTCTACTCTAGAGTATTTTGTAACAGAAATGAAAACATATGTGTACCAAAATATTCATATAAGAATGTTTACAGCAATGCTATTCCTAACAGCCCCAAATGGTCAAACTGGGTGCCCTACAACAGAATGGATGAACAGAACATGGCATAATCATGCAATGGAGTACTAGTCATAAGCAGAAAATGCACAGCAACAAGTAACATGAATTTGACACTGTGGGGAAAGAAGACTTACAGAAAACAACACTGTTTTACTTCTGTTAAGTTCCAGAACAGGTAAAACCAATCTAGAGTAGAAAGCAGTCAGAACAATGGCTGCTTCTTGGGTCTGGGTGGTAGACAGTTAATTAAAAGGGGGCATGAGAGAATTTTCTGGAATGATGATAAATGTTCTCTATCTTGACAAGGATTTGGGTCACATTGGCATACAAGGTGAAGACTCAGCAAAGGGGTTGGGGGTATAACACCACGGTAGTGCACCTGCCTAGAAAATCCAGCAACTGTGTTCTTAGTTCAGCTCTTCTTTGTAAATTTTATGTCAAAAGAAAAACATCTAAACAAATGTCCAAACATAATCCACATGCGGTGTATTTAGGGGAAAGTTTAATGTCTGTAATTTACTTTGAAAAGCACAAAAGAAGAGAGTTTGAGAGAGAGAGAGAGAGAGAGAGAGAGAGAGAGAGAGAGAGAGAGAGAGAGAGGTGGATATATAATGAGGAGGAGTAGGAAATGACGGGCAGCACCAGGCAGTAAGCAGAGGCACTGTGAAAAAGCTGCACAGTTGAAGTCTTCATAATAAATGCTGTGAAAGATGAAAGGTGGGCAGAAAGCCATGGCAACACAAAGTGGACTTGAAGGAGAGCTGTGTGGTTACTGCACATGTCCATTCTAACTGCACTAACTACACAAGCATCTGGAAAAAGGCCCAAAATGCCACTGAAATAAGTCAGTGTTTTAAGGAAACTGGGAGTGACGGTGAGGAATGTACTCAAGAAATGTAGCACTGAACTGCAACATCTATCTAACTTGTGTCTTAGTTGTGCTAGTAAATTCCAAAGAAAATTCCTTTACTCTTATTGTTTGGCATAACACCAAGTTTATGTGGCTTCTCAGAACTTTTTGAATACTAAAATACTGTTCTGGGGATTCATTTACTATAAATCTCCCCACCCCGTTTTATATTGTATGTTTTCACTTCCTGAAGATTTCTCCTGGGCTGCAAGTTTTTGTTTCAATGGTTTCTCCTGGGATCCTTTTCCAGGAGCCTCCTCTGCCAGCTTAGGAAGAGCTTTTCAGTGAGAGTCATCTGGAAGTGGTAGGGGACCATGAACTCCAGTTCAGCAGTGCTACAGGTGTGTATGCTCAATAACCTGAGAATCTGTACTTACACCCTGCAGTTCAGAGGTTCAGGAAAATGGATCAGCAGATAAAGATGCCTGCCACATAAGCATGGAGACCTGAGCTCCATCCCCAGAACACCATCAGGGTAAGCAGAGAGAACAGACAAAGCTGTCCTCTGACCACCAGAGTTGCACTTGGCATGTCCTCACCCTCTTCATACACACACAATAATAAACAAACAAACCAATCTTTGTGCCAGCATTATTTGCATTCTTTGACGTGTAAAGCAGAACTTTAGCACTTGCTTTGGGCCACCCACCTGGTGTCAAAGTCACTGTTGTGCCTAGGCACACCTACCAACCCCACCATGATATCCCCAGAGTGGTGCAAACTGCTTTTTCACACTGACCTCTCTTAAATACTTGGTGGCTTTTTTTTTAGTTTTAAAATTTTTTTCTTAATATGTCTACCTTTGATGACCTGGCCAGCTCCACAAGTGATTTTTTGTTTGTTTGTTTGTTTGTTTTTGCTTATTTGTTGTGTTATGTTGTTTGGGGGTCGGTGGTGGTAGTTGTTTTCTGTTTGTTTTGTTCTTTTTTGAACAAAACCCTACATAACCCTGGCTGGCCTGGAACTAGTTGTATACACCAGGGTGCCTCAAATTCCCCAAGACCTGCCTGGTTCTGTCTCCCAACTGCTTGGATTAAAAACATGTGCCACCATGCCCAATAGAATACTCAGATTTGAACTTGGTTTGCATGGTTGTGAAGCATTTTCTGGGTTAATGTAATAGTGAACCATGTTCACTGTTTACTTCAGCTCTCCTAAAAGATCAAGACTCTCTCCTTTAAACTACCATGAAGGGCATGGTGGCAGTCTAAGGAAGTAGATGCTGAAGGCTCAGAAGTTCAAGGTCAGCATCAGCTACATAGCAAGTTAGAGGCTAGCTTATCTCTCAATAAATAAATAAAGTGTATCATTCATTGGGGTTTCAGTATATCCAAAGGGTGTCTAACCATCACTGCTATCCAACTCTAGAACATTTTCTTCCTGCTATAAAAACAAAAACCTGAGGCTTTTCAGTGATTACTCCCCATTCCTCCTTTCCCCCGAGTGCCACTAAACAACTTCCTGCCTCTATAGATGAGCCATCCCAGACATTTCATGTGCATGAAACCACACAGCATGTAGCATTATGTCTGGCTTCTTTCATTTAGTATGTTTTCAGGGTTCATGATGCAGTTTCATTATACTGCATTCTTTTTCATGGCTCAATAATACATTTACGTTTGGCTTCTCTATTCATTAGTTAATAAATGATGGGTTGGATCTACTTTTGAGTTTTTATGAATAACACTGTTATGTTTATATACAAGTTTTTATATGAATGCACTTTCTTTTTTAAGTTTATGTGTCTCTGTTGGGAGCTGGCCAACATGGGTGTTGGAAACTGAACTCAGGTCCTCCAGGAAAGGCATCAAGTGCTTATAACTACTGAGCCATCTCTCCAGCCCTAGCTGAGTGTATGCCCAATTCTATTGGGAATACACCTAGGTATGGACTTTCTGGGTTATATATGAACTCTGTGTTAGCTTCTGGAACAGCTGCCCATTTTCTGAGCAGAGTGATAAAATATTAAACAATATTAATCAATGCCACTTGGGATGTTAGTCATTCCCTTTTCCATTGTATACACACTGTATAGGCTACTTGCCCATTAGTCACATAGCAGCTGTCTTAGTTATCAGGTTAATTGTTCTGGTATTGCAGCCCTTGTTATTTTCTTTATCATTGGCCCTAAAGCACAAGTACAGAGTTGTTGGCAATTCAAACATGCCAAAGAAGAGCCGAGAAATATCCTCTTATATTTTTGGTTGTGAGCCTAGCCTTTATAAGCTGAGCCATCTCTCCAGCCCAGGAAGTATTTTCTTTTAAGTTGGTACTTAACTCACTTAAAAGTGAGTTTGTACCAACTCACTTTATTAGAAAAAGTGTGAATACAGAACAACAAAAAATACTTAGAGAAAGAGAATATATATTATTTTTATCACAGTATACTATTATAATTTTCCATTGTACTATAACTGTTAATCTCCTACAGTGACTAATTTATAATTTAAATTTTATCATAGGCATATATGTATATAAAAAAAAAAAACTAAAAACAGCAAGGCCAGGTCTCCAGCCTGCCTTCCGAAGGAGCCCACCTTCCAGTGCCCTGCTCGGAACATCCTGGGGCCTGGGGACTGCATGTAGGGGAGCCCATCCCCAAGGACTGGCCTTCCCAGAGTCTTCCAGGGTCCTGGTTCCACCTCCAACCCTGGAAGGAAATAGGCTTGGGCCTGTTTCCGGCCTGCCTTCCAGGGCCCTGTTTGGAGCTTCCTGAGGCCTGGTGCTGGCTCATGCACAGCGGGACCGTCCAAGCAGACCCACCTGTCCAGAGTCTGCCAGGTGGTCCCGCCTCCACCTACAGAAGAAGTCCATCTTCCAGTGCCCTGCTTGGAGCTTCCTGAGGACTGGGGACTGCCAACGGGCCCATCCTGAGGCTGCCAGCGCCCTAGTCCCACCTCCACTCACTGGAAGAGGAGAGCCATCGGAGTATTGGACCTGCTTGCACCCACGAGAAGAGTACCTTTGTCCCTTACCCACCAGAAGAGGGAGAGACCCCCACCGTATGACCAGGAAGAAGAGATGGGTAGACGACAGTATAAGAACACAGCCAACAACAGAAAGGTCAATACGGCACCACCAGAGTCAAGGAATCCCACAGCATCCTAACACAAATGGAGCAGAAGAGAACAACCCTAAAAACAACTTCATGAAGATGCCAGAGACCCTGAAAGAAGAAATGAGAAAACCCTTTAAAGAAATGGAAGAAAAGGCAAACCAAAAATTTCAAGAAACAATTCAAACAGTATAAGGTTTGAAAGGTGAAACAGACAAACAACAACAAC